GTTTCATACAGTTGCAGCGGATATTGGACATTGGCGACATCCCAAGACGGGGGAACATCACCAGTTCATGGTCATCATTGATGAGGGTTCGAGATTTCGGATTGCCAAGGTGTTGTCTAGGGGTGCGAAGCAACAGCCCTCCGGAGCCGATTGTGTAGCGTACCTACGTGAAGGATGGGCCCAGATGTTTGGAAATCCCCGAACCATCCGGTTGGACCCAGCAGGCAACTTCCGAAGTGTCGCAATCTCCGATTATTGCCACAGACATGAGATCTATCTGGACTTGGTTCCGGGCGAGGCCCATTGGAAGATTGGCGTGTGCGAGCAGGCAGTGCAAGGACTGAAGACAGTGATGTCGAAGGTTTGCGATTCTGAAGACACGATTTCAGCCGAGGAAGCCCTTGCCACTGCTGTTCGGACTTTCAATCAGAGGGATCTGATTAGGGGGTTCTCACCCGTTCAACATGTGCTGGGTCAGGTTCCTGATGAGACAGGCAGGATTGATGTGGCTACTCCGGCAGTCCCTCCGGAATTGTTGATTGAGAATCCTACTGGGGAATTTCAACAGGCGGTTCGGAGGCGCTCAGAGGCTGAAAAGGCCCATGCTGAATGGAACGCTCAACAGAGACTGATTCGAGCGGCTAACTCCCGAAGTAGACCCGTTATGGACTACCACCCCGGGGAACTGGTTTTCTACTGGAGACAACAGGACTCTGCGAAGAATCGCCAAGGACCCAGCACGAAGCGTGGATACTTTATGGGCCCCGCTAGGATTCTGGCTATGGAAACCAAACGGAATCCCGACGGAACCCTCAAACCAGGATCTACGGTGTGGTGTGTTCGAGGTCGCCAGCTGACCAAGTGCTGCGTTGAACAGTTGCGCCGGGCCTCCCAGCGAGAAGAGTTAGTGGAAACCCTTACGGATCAAGACTCTACTCCATGGAGTTTCTCACGAGTTTCGGAACAGATTGGAGGGAATCAGTACGAAGACGTGTCAGGAAATAGTCCAACTGACATGGAGTGGTGGAGATCTCAAGAACCTGAGGAGGAACAGCAACCCACACGACACCGATTCCGAGGAAAAAGACCAGCCTACCAGCCACCCGCTGAAGACTCGGATGAGGAACTTATCCCAGATGGAGACAGGACCATCTCATCCAGTTCAAGGCAACGTCCCCGACGACATGAGGAGTCCGGGATCTGTTGGTGGAGTCAGATTCAGGATGAACAGTGGGGTGCTTCGGAGCAGGCTTTCTGGCAAAACCCTAAGGCTGGAGTTGAGGCTGAGATTGAACTGCCCAACAACCCCAAGTCCTGGAATCGTGCGTTGCAAGATTTCCCCTGCTACATGGTCGGAGCCATGAAACGGATGTCGATTGAGGTGAGAGAGAAAACCTTGAGTGAGGACGAGCGAAACCAGTTTGCAGCGGCCAAGGCCGCGGAAGTGAAAAACTTCTTGGCCTCACAAGCCTTTGAAAGCCTCCCTAGTCACCTGAAGCCTAGCAGGGATCAGGCCATAGGTATGAGGTGGATTCTTACGTGGAAGTATCGTGAAGACGGTAGTAAGAAAGCGAAGGCTAGGGCGGTTCTTCTAGGCTATCAAGACCCTTCGTATGAACACAGAAGTACCACGGCACCTGTTATGTCTAGACAATCCCGACAAATGCTGCTCCAACAAGCCGCGAACCGACAGTGGACAGTTCATAAAGGAGACGTCTCAGGAGCTTTCTTGCAAGGCAGGGAGTACCCAGACGTTTTACATTGCATACCGTGCGATGAAATATGTGATGGTATGAACATTCCCCGGGGTAGCATTACACGATTGAAGCGAGCATGCTACGGCTTGGTGGACGCTCCTTTGGAGTGGTACAGATCGGTCTCGGAGTTCCTCGAAGGACTGGGATTGCAGAGGACTTGGAGTGACGCTTGCACCTGGACTTGGAGAGTCAAGGGCCAATTGAGGGGCATCATTTCGGGGCACGTTGATGACTTCTTGTTTGCTGGAAGTGCTCACGATCAGGAGTGGCAGGAAATCCTTCGGAAGATTAAGGAGAGGTTTAAGTGGGGTGACTGGGAGTGTGACGAGTTCATTCAATGCGGGGTGAAGGTGAAAAAAGGTGCCAGGAGGTTACGCGTTGAGTCAGGCTCAGTATGTGGAAGGCCTGAGTGAGATCCCTCTGAACGCCCAGCGGAAACGGCAGCGGAAAGAGAGCACGAGTGAGAGAGAGAAGAGTCAACTTCGAGCTGCTCTAGGAAGCCTAAGCTGGGTGGCACAGCAGACTGCGCCACATTTGTCGGCTGAGGTTTCGCTGTTGCTATCAGAGGTCTCGACAAGTACCGTGGAGACGATCGTCAAGACTAACCAGTTGACTGCTAATGTCAAACAGAGAAAGCATCATAAGATGTTGATTCATGGATTCGCTGAGGGCGAGGATCTGGCAATGTATGCCTGGGTTGATGCTGCTAACGCCAACAGGCCGGATGGAGGCAGTACTCAGGGTATATTTGTGGGCCTGGGTCCGAAGTCCATGCTCAAGGGCGCCGTAGGTAGCGTATCGCCAATGGCATGGCATTCCTCCAAAGTGGACCGAGTGTGCCGGTCCCCAGGGGCCGCCGAGGCCCTAGCGGCGGTCAACGGCGAGGATGCCTTGTTCTACGCCCGGTACCAGTGGAGCGAACTACAGAATGGTGTGCCCGATGTGAGAGACAGCTGTGCAGTGGTTCAAGAAACCATTGGTTGTCTCGTGACCGACTCGAGGAACGTCTACGACAAGCTGAGCACGGAAGTGATAGTGGTGAAGGGTGCTGAACGACGAACAGACCTGGAATTACTGGGACTGAAGGAATCGCAAACCAGTACCAATCTGCAGATCAGATGGGTCCACTCAGAGGCTCAGCTATCCAACAGCCTCACAAAGGCTGGAGGAGGACGTGAGATAGAGTTGTACTACCAGATGCAACACAGATGGCGAATAGTGGAGGACGAGCAAATGAGATCGGCAAGACGACGAAAGCAAGACGGGTTGGCTCCTCTAGGTGATGATGTGGTGCAGGAGAAGTAAAAAGTTTGTTTGAAAGAAGTTTGGAAGAGGGAACGCGACATGCAAGCTTTACGCTTGTATGCAATGACGCAATGATGGACATTGCATAGCCTCGAATGCTCAAAGAGGAAAACAGCGTGCGGTAGGGTTTCTTAGAAGGACTGCTGGGGCCGTCCTACCTGAAGCCATAGTCTGCACCTCCCGAGCGACCCCGGCTAGAGCACTCAGTGGTGACCGCTCAGCAGCTGCCGACTGTCAAGGGTTTAGGGTTTAGGGTGATTCAAGATTTAAGGTTCAGGGTTTAGGGCTTACCATTCCTGAAAGAGGGTTTAAGGGTTTAGAGCTTAGGGTTTCGGATGTAAGGGTTTAGGGTTTAAGGGTTTAGGGTGAAGCTTCAGAGTTTATAGGCCTTACCATTCCTCAAAGAGGGCTTAAGATTTGAGCTTTAAGGTTCGGGGTTTAGGGCCTTCGGAGACCATTCCTGGAAGAGGGTTACTCTCAGGATCATAGCACTTAGTTCGTGAGGCACAAGTACATTCATTGGTGTTCTACGCAATAAGAAGTACAGAGACTCTGACAGTAGCTTGCATTGCTAAGCTGAAAGATCCTTTAAGTAGGGCTCAAGCTGGGAGTTTATTCCGACCCCTGCATATTGGACCGCACCCAAACCCTGCAAACCCTACAAACCCTGACCCCTAAACCCTGCAAGCCCTCAGCCTCAACCCTGAATGCTGCAAGGCGCTCTCCACGGTGACTTGGCGCTGCCCCGGCGGCCCCCATGGCACCGCCATGGCTTTGAGCAACTCGGGGCCCTTTGGCCGAAGGGTCGGGAAACCCAACAGCTCCTCGGTTCAGGCCTTCGGGATGTAGGCTTTAGGGGTAATTTAGCATTTGGGGCTTAGGGGTTTAGGGTTTAGGGGATCTTCTGGGGGTAGGGTTATTTAGGCTCAGCCAAACCTTAAACTCCGAGCCAGGGGTTGCCGAATCATATTCGGGTTGAGGGTTCAGGGTTGGGGTGGGGACGGCGAGCCATCCTCATGCTTGGAGGTTGTTGCTCTTTTTGTTCACTGCTCTTTCTGTCAGAACAAGAACAGTAATCAATACTCATTTCTGAATACCGCAGTACTAATAATAACATCATACATACGATACTGATAATGATCACAATACGAAGAAGAATCGCATAACACAGGCATCTGCAAGTCTAGGGCCACTTCGGGCCACCCAGCTGCGGGATTCGAGGCCCGTGTACCGTCGACGGTTAAAAATTTGAAGGCTCAGGGCTTGGGACTTGAGGGTTCAGGGTTTAGGAGTTAGGATTCAGGGCTGCAGGAGTAGGATTTCAGTCAGTGGCCTCAAAGATGCGATGCCAGTAGGCAGGATGAAAAAGCATCCCTTCAGTAGGACTCTTACATGGACTTACCCCACCTAACCGTAAACCCCAAACCCTCAACGCAAAAAAAAGAAACAAAAACTAAAACGCGGCCTCAACAATTTCAATTCTACTCCTTCTGGGCTCCATAACTTCGCTATTACTAACGCACAGCAAAGTCCTATTCTAATGATCAAGGCCTCTGTTACCTTCATGCCGCCCTCGGATCCCTTCAAGGTTTCAAAAAGGGTTCTTGCTATGCAGAGGACAAGGGCGCGGCCTTCAGAATTACAAGCGGGTTTTGGGATGTAGCATAATAGCATAGTTTCCAGAGTTATAAGTCAGAATGGCGAGCTAAGGAAAGTACGATTCCTAATCATGGCAAGACTGCTTGCCGAGTAAGCCCCTAGTGCGGGTGGGGCTTGGGGCTTGGGCTAACAGCCCATTTTGCGAGGCAAGCTCCATGGGATACTGGTGCCAGAACCCCATCTCTGCCGATGGGTGCCACCCAACCGCGACCCCCACGGCCGAAACCGCCCGAACCATGCAGTCTCGATCCAACATCTCAGACCCTCAACCCTAAAGCCCTAGACGCCCAAGACCTCGATACTCCCGCAGCAACGCGAGGCGCCGGACCAACCACGCACCACTGACCTAAGGCGGATTCCGTCGGATTTACAGGCGTTTCAATGACTATTTCTTTACGGCCCCTAAACCCTAAACCCTAACCCCCTAAACCCTTAAACCGTCCAAGAGACTTTGTAAACAGGCTGTGATGGCTCGAGGTATAAGCCCACAAGTCATGGGGTACAGCTTATACTCTACTTACCAAATCCGATGGCCTGCTCAAAAGATGATTATAAGGGGTGCTTGACGGACGGAGTCTTGCATTGAACAAGTACGGCAAACTAAACGAGTTGTGGCATAGTCTTCGTTATGAGATACTGAAGTTGCGGGCCTTTCTCCACTAAGTATGAGACCCTCAACAAACTTAAGCATATGCTCGATCTGCTGGAGTCCCTCACTGACTCTGCAAGCCTGCTTGTCGAGTTTCGTAGAAGAACTAAAGCTGAACCCCTTCCGTTACCGTATCTCGGGACTCTGGATCATGGGGCTTTATAAGTAAGGTTATGAGTGCCTTGAATGAAGCTAGAAGTAACTATAGGTATAATGTCTTTATATCGCGAGAGTTATTAAGTCGCATGATCACTTATGCAGAAGTTACTTCCTCGATTGTGCCAAAGCATCCGACACGCTACACCGCCTCTAGCGCTCCAGGCCTCTACAAACCATAGCCGATAAATCCCAAACCCCAACACCCCCAAACCCTAAACTGTGACCTTCAACAGGAAACCCTTAAAGCTAGACCCAAATTTCAAACCCTAGGCCCAGAACCCTAAAGCCCCATTGAACACCTCCAAAACCCTCACTGACGCCCTAAACCCAGAGACTCCAATAACCCTTACTTAAAGAATATACCTTAAACTATAGTAGGATCCCCAATATGATTTAAGGAATATTCCATACTTAGGGGATATTCGTCTCTGGGAACTAAGTCCCATGGATCCTTTAAATGGGAAAATAGGGGACCCTAATGTAGTACCCTAAATAGTAGGATCCTTGTTATAAGAACCCCCAAATAAGGTACCCCTAATCTTCGGGTTCTGCCGCTGAGGCGCAGGAGGGCCTGGTCCCCGCGGGGCGCCAAGCGTCTCACGGCATCTGCGGTCGCCCGGCGCGACTGGAGCAGGGAAGGGTAAAAGGAGGGACCCTTAAAAAGGACCCCTATAGGTATATACCCTTGATATAGCCATTATATGCCCATTATATAGCCCATTATAGGGTAGGGGTCCCCATTAAGGGTCCCTCCTTTTCCCCTTTGAGAGCAGGGAAAAGCTTCAAGCTTAGCTCTGGCAGGGTGTAAGACATCGGCTTTCGGGCTTCGGGCTTCGGGTTTAGGATGTAAGGATTTCATTTTCAGGGTATACTTGGAGGGGCAGGGGACTTTTAGTACGTCGTTTATATTTAGGGTTATAACTGGGTGTCTCCAGTTAGGTACTTGTATTTCCACTTGTAACCTACTTACTAGGTCCCCTGCCCCTCCAAGTAGGGTAAGGGATGCTTTGTTCGCACTGTACATGTACATTCGATGCTAGAGTGATGATACTTTACGGCCGGGTGCTCGGATTCCAGGGCATGAGCACGTAGCCTGACTAGAGAGTTGCCAAATATGATGGGATGCCAAAAGGGGGGTTTAAGATTCTTGGGGTAGGGATTCCCTAATATGAACCCTGTTATGGGAACCCTAATCCCTAATAAACCCCCATAAGCTAAACCCCCTTTTAGCCTCCTATGAAAATAGCTCCCCCAAAACACGAAACCAAAAGCCCAAGGATCCCCCACACAGCGGCGAGGAATCCCACCCCTCAAGAACTACTTAAAGCTCATGGGGGACTTCTTAGTTATCAAAGGTTATAATTATAAGGTAGGTTGTAACTAGGATAACCCCACTTAGGGGACTTATAGTCCCGATTATAACCTACTTACTAAGTCCCATAATCCGTTAAGTATTATCCAGCGAGCTTATAAGGTTTGGCCTCGGCTTTGTAGCGCGCATCGGGGGGCGGCAGCACTGAGGAAAGGGTGGCATGCACTGCTCCACCTGCAAACTGGAGCTTGGTGGGAGGGCCAAAAACCTTAACCCTAAACCCTGAACCCGAACTCCAAACCCCGAAATCGTTAAAGCAGCTTGGGGTGGTTATACATGCATAATCCTACTTGCGCAGTATCCTTGAGAACCAAAACCTTAACCTTTGGGAGTATATTGGGGTTATATCACCTTAAACCCTAAAACCTAAACCCTAACCCTAAACCCTGAACCCTATAAACCCTATAAACCCTACTACCAGGTAATGTGGCTAGGGCTCACCACGGACAAACCGTGCAGAAGCCAGGCTTCGGAAACTCACGCCCGAGGCCAAGGGCTTCTCAAAGGGGAAAAGGAGGGACCCTTAATGGGGACCTCTGCCCTATGATTACTGGGTATATGATAGCTATATTAAGGGTATATACTGGGCTTTTAAGTAACCAGGGGGAAAAAAGTATAAACTTTTATTTCATAATGGTTCCATAAAGAAGAAAAGTATTAAAGTAGGGTACTCCAAAGCCCAGTATACCTAGGGGTCCTTATTGAGGGTCCCTCCTTTTACCCTTGGAGCTTCGTGAGCCGATTCAAAGTTGAGGTCGTGGGATCCTTTACTGGATTCTTTAAGGGTTGCTTTAAGGGATCCTCTAAGGGCTCCTTTAAGGGATTCTTTGAGGGATCCTTTAAGGGATCTTCTTCAAGGGTTCTTTAAGGGATCCTTTACTTGGAGGATCATGGGACTTAGTAAGTAAGGTTATATATAAGTACCTTAATTGGGGCTATAAGTAATTATAAGTATAGTTACCTTATTTATAACCCCAGTTACTAAGTCCAATGATCCTTTAAGGGATTCTTTAAGGGTTCCTTTGAAGGATGTATGAGGGTCTAGGGCTTAGGGTTTAGAGTTTAGGGTTTGGTGGGGTGTTTTGGGGTTTAGGGTCTAGGAGTTCTGGGGTTTAGGGTTAGGGTTTGGTAGGGTTTTGGGTTTAGTCACGCCCACAGCACTGGCTCTAGGGGTTTTTGGTATCGGGGCTAAAGTTCGCCAAACTTCTAAGTCTTGTAACCCCTGTTTCTTATCAGGGCGACAGTTCAGGTGCCCAGGGTTTGGGGCTCAGGGCTGTAGGGTCTAGGGGTTTAGGGTTAGGGTTTATGGTTTAGGATTTGCAGTTTAGGGTTTCAGGTTTTGGCATTTACATAAAGTGGTTCCGGTCTGAAAACTTTGGGTTTAGGGTTTCAGCTTTTGGGATTTACATAAGGTTGTTTGGGAAGGCTAGAGAAGCTAAGGGCTCTCTTTCGGGTTCGCATTTTGTATCAACTACCCCTACTGGCATCCTTGTTTGGAGCACCAAGCGAAGCCGAGACCCCAAAACATCCCCAAAAAACCAAAGTCGGGGCCGTGAGAATTTCAGTAAAGTTGTGGAGTGTATTCCGTAGCATGATGAAACATGATGAAAAGAGCCCTGGAGCATAATTCTGAAAAACCTACACGCTTTTATGTTCATCCAACCCGCCTTCTTCAGGTCGTTGCTGGCCCGCGGCATCCCATAGGGCGTCCAACGCGCACTCACGCACCGCCTGGTTGCAGACTTCGGGCAAGAAAGAAACTTGCTGTTTCCATGGTGACTATATGGGTGGTTGTCAAAATTATGGTCCCTTTTTGGGTACCCTAAATAATAGGTGCCGTATTATATTAGGGACCCGAAAATGTTGCCACTACTACCAAGTATTCGGCTTCTATATTACGGATTCCAGGCGAAGGGTCTGCGTCCGGTGCAGGATCGGGTGTATGTTGGTTTGAAGGGAGTTGTTCCAGCGCAGCCCAGCTCAAGATACAGATGTCAGAAAGGAAACGGTTTAGGGTTTAGTTTATATTTTTAATGCCTGTTTCGAAAAAGACGTGTTTGAAAGGGTTTAGGGTTTGGGGATGTAGGCGTTTAGGGTTTACTTCACGAAGCAGGGTTCCCCCGAATCATGACAAGAAGTCCTCTACGCCTTCCTTAGTCAGGGGAGATTGAGCTCTCTTATGTAGTTCCCAGGAACTCCAATATCCCTGAACTAAGGAATATACCTTAAATTATACTAGGATCCCTAAAATAGGATTTAAGGAATCTTCCGTAGTTAAGGAATTTACTTTAAATCATAGTAGGATCCCTAATAGGATTTTTTAAATATTCCGTAGTTCAGGAATATACCTTAAATCATACGAGGATTTTAGGCCACGGCTTCTAAGTTTAGTTTCGGGTTCGGAGTTCGGGTTCAGGGTTTCAGGGTCTAGGCTCAGGGTTTAGGATTTAGGCGCAGACTCTGGGATTGAGGCTTAGGGTTTAGGTTTGAGGGTCTAGGGTTTCAAACTTAGGGGTTTGGCTTGAAGATTTTTGTGTTCTCAGGGCTGAGGGTGAGGATGGAGGTTAGGATTCAGGAAGTAACCTTCACAGCCTCTGTGCCTTCAGGGGAAGCAACTACTTCATTTTGGGATACAAGGAATAGTCTTCAATTAGCTTAGACTCCTCACGACGGCAACTATACTTCTCAATGGAGGTACTTATAACCTTACTTACGAGGTCCCATCATACTCCAAGTATTCTGATTTTAGCAGCGGTTCTCTACATAATATACTATAACCTACTATAGTATGCCATAACATATTACTATAATCTACCAATAATATACTAGGATATACTCGAATATATTCCAGAACCCCCCGAGCATGCGGAGGCGGCCTTGCTGCGGTCAAGCACAGCCGCTGCCTCGAGAAAAATTTCAAACATCCCGTCGAATAGCTATTCATGTAAGTACATGTACGTCTGTATGTATGCATGTATGCATGTACCTATGCCACATGTTTATTTGTATACATGTATACTTATGCACAGCTATAATATATGTGCTCCTTAATTTGCAAGGACTGCATCGAGGCATTGGCTTCACTGTGTTGGGTTTCAGGTTCAGGGCTCAAGGCTTCGGCAATGACAAGACGAACCACCAGCGCAGATGCACATGAAAGGCACTCAAAAAGCAAGAACAGAGCCCGAACAATAAGGCTTAGGGGCGTAGGGCTTGGGGCATACAGTCTACGGCTTAGCCCTCAACGATATCGTCCAAACTCTGTAAGTTACAAGTACCTCAATTAGGGTCATCGGTGTTTACAACATATTACAATAATATACCTCTACTTATTATAGTTACCAATTTATAACATATTACAATATTATACCTATAGTTACTATAGTTATCTTGTTGTAATATACAGCTCGCCTGCGCCGCGAGTGCCCCTCGATGGCCCACCATGGCGGCAGGAGACAGCGCTTGGAGCGCAGTGAGCCTTCCAGGTAAGCGGAGACTCCAGGGTTTAGGGTCCTTTGGACCCTAAGGGAAACGGATCCTAAATCCCAAACTCCTATGTAGATTTTGGGGGTTGAGGCCACTTATAGGATCATGTGACTTAGCAAGTAGGTTATAATTGGGGTTATAAGTCGCCTAAGTGGGGTTATCCTAATTGTAACCTACCTTATAACCTTACTTACAAAGAAGTCCCATGAGCCTTTAAGCAGGCAAGCGGAGACTGCAGGGTTTAGGGTTTAGGGTCCACTACCCGCGTAACCCAAGTGACAATATTCAACACTTCTGAAGACATGTAGACTTGAAATGTACACTGGTTGTCTCCTAATTTATGGATTTTAGGGCCTCCGGGGCGGCTGGTTAAAGGCTTAGGGCGAAGAATTTCGCATTTATGGGTTGTGCGATTTTGTATAGCATGATTTTGCACAGGTCACAGGGCTTCCATGTTGGAACTCAGAAATTGGCGGGTCGAGTTTTGGGTTGTAGCTCAGATGACACGGTTCGGAACTTCGTCTTCGCTTCAAAACCCTAAATCGGGAACCCTAAATCCTACACCCTAATCCCGAAACCCAAAACCCTAAACCCTATACCCTAAACCCCTAAACCCCTAATCCCGAAACTCTAAACCCTAAACTCGGCAACCGCAGGCCTCAGATGAACCTTTGATTCCTAGAACCCTGAACCCCATCACTGCCAGTATTCTTCGGAGACTCCCAAAATCCATGATTTGCGGAACACTTCTTAAATATCGCAATCACAGGCTCGTTCGAACATAAGGAATATTCCTTCTCTCGGTGCGAATTCAGGAATTACACCCTCAAAGGTTCGCCGTGCGCGACGGGCTAGGGTTGAGGGTTTTTGCTTGGGGCTTGTGCGCGCACGAACTTCGAGCAATACGCATCTGAGAAGGAGACTCATGATCACCAGCAACAGATTCAGCACAACATGAACGGACATTATTCTCGGAACAACTAGCCAACTGAAGCCAAACCGTAAACAGAGCTAAACCTCCAAACCCCCTTCAAGGCCTGCGACTGTATGGGGAAATACCTCAGCCCAAGACCCTCAACCTGCACGACAACTGATGAGAACTGGATGCCTCAGCGGCTGCTCCGTCAGCGTCCGCCCATCCTATCAAGAAGGGAACTGTCGGCTCGGACTTGTTTTGCTATGACCCGTGCCTCTGTTCGGAATTGGGCGTGCGGATCAGGGACACGAAAGGGCCGTAGTACAGAGACCAGGCGCTGAAGATGCCAATAGGGCGCAGTGTAACTCAATATTCAAGCTACATAAGTCTCACAGGCACAGCACCCTCGATGAGCCCAATCACCGCTCTTGGAAGATCATGGGACTCAGTACCTTGTCTGGAGTTACAAATAGTTATAAGTAGGGTTACCCTGAAAATAAACCTAGTTACTAGGCCCCTGATGTTGCAAAGTCATACGCCCCTGTAGCTACATTGAGGAAGTAAGCCCCTAGAGACCCCTAATAGAACCCCTTCTGGATCGCTTCAGAACCGTTTAAGGAACCAAGGCCCCTCATCCTTTCAGTAACCCATCCCGACCCCCTTTATAGAACCCCTATGATAGATCCCTTTAAGGAACCCTATCGTACTCTCAAAAGGAACCCTAAACCAAGACCCCTGGTCCTTTAAGTAAACAGAAGTGACTATACTGAACTTAGAACCCTAGCAAAAATTCAAGTTTTAGCTGTTTCTTAGGGATTATACTAACCACAAATTTAAAAAAATATTTCTAAGCACCCCTAAGGTAGGAGGAGCCTTGAGGGTGCGGATAAGCTTTTTCACGCCCACCTGGACATGGACTCTCTGTAGGCTTGAGAGGTTTAGAGGTATAGGGTTTGGGGTTTAGGATTCACGGTTTCGGCTTCAGGGGTTTAGGGGTTTAGGGTGTTTAGGCCGGCTTTTAAGGGTTGGGACTTGAGGGTCTGGAAAAATGTCTTCGGCTGTGCTCCCTGGCGGAGCTTGGGTGACAGGACCCCACACTTTTGGTACTACTGAAGGGTACTCGTGGGGCTTATGGGTTTAACTCAATCACTTTAGCTTTCTAGAGTGTATGCTCCCTCTAAGGTCTTAGGCCACAAACCTCCCGGGGGCGTGTTTGGGGAGCCGTGGGCCGGGCCACATTGGTCGCTTTTTCTGCACCTCCACCGCCTCAACCATGCTGCAGCCCTAAACCCTGAACCCCTAAGCCCTAAACCCCTAGTAAACCCCAAACCCTAAACCCTAAGCCTCAAAACTGCAACCCTTAGAACCGTAGGCCCACAAGCCGAAGCCCTGAACCCGACACCCCTCTAAAGAACGGTACCCCTTGTTTTCGAAAACCCTAAACCATAAACGCTAAACCCTTTATAGAACCCTTATAGATCCCCGATAAGGAACCCTTAAAGGATCCCTTTAAAGGTGCCCACAAGGGTGGTTGTCAAAATTATGGCCTCTTTTTGCGTCCCTAATATAAAACGGCACCCATTATTTAGGATTCCCAAAAAAGGGGCCATAATTTTGATAACTGCCAACAAACATCCGACGCCTTCGGGCTTAGGGTGTGATTCGGAGAGGCCCTGAAGCTCCAACACCCCCAGTAAACCCCAAATTCCACAAGGCTGGGTTCAACCTGGAGCATCATGGGACTTTGTAAGTAAGGTTGTAAGTTATAGGGACTTTGTAAGTAAGGTTGTAAGTTATAGGTACCTTAATTAGGTTATAAAAACTCCTAAAACATAGCTCTACCTACTCAATCCCTTGGTCCTTGCTAGCAACTCAAAGCCCCCCTGTAGCTAGGTCGCATGATCCTGTAAGAAGGCCTCGTGGGAGCCATCGTTCTGCTGCAGGGCATGCCCCCACTCCCGCGCCTAAGATAGGTGGTAGAATGTTGGATATGAAGTTAGGAGCTCTATACCAGGAGTAGAAAAACGAACTCCTCCTCTCTCACAGCTTGGAAAGCGCACGTTTAGGTTGTGGGTTGAAGCGTGTCGGTTCAGGGGTTTGGGTTCAGGGTATAGGGTTTCGGTTTGGGGGGAGAAGGCTGAAGGATTCGGGTTGAAAGGTTTGGCGCTTTCAGGGTGCAGGGCGTTTCTGCGCTTTAGTGTAGAAGCCTGAACAAGTTCCAAGATCACTCCTGGAAGTTCCTTGGTTTAAAGTATAATGCAGGAACCTGATTAAGAAACCTGGGGCCTTGCTTAGGGTTCCTTACCTGAATCCTACTATTTTGGGGTCATAGGCCCCGGGCTTCTTCATCAGGTTCCTACACGATACTGCTACAAACCCCAAAGCCTTGTTCGAAGGTTTGAAGCGGTGGGGATCAGAGCTTGGGGTTGGGCAAGCTCGGCAACAGCGGAGAGGAGAGTATGCAGCCAAGAAAAAGATGCCAAACCCTTCAGAATGAGCCCTGAAAGGAGACTGGACCCGCCTGCACCTCAAACCCGAAACCCTAAACCCCTAAACACCTAAACCCCTAAACCCTAAACCGTTATAGAACCCTTTAAAGGAACCCTTACAGGAACCCTTGAAGGAACCCTTAAAGGAACCCTGAAAAGGAGGCCTTATAGAAGCCTTTGAACCTCCCTTCACCCTCCAAAACTTCCACCAAGCGACCTTGAAGGTTCTGCAAGGCCAGAGGTCCTCCGTTACTGGGTTCTTGTTAAGGAACTTAATTTAAGTTACCATAGTAAGGAAACCCTATTATTTACGATAGATCCCTATTATGGTAACTTAAATTAAGTTCCTTAACAAGAACCCAGGTTAGGGCTCTTTAGGGTTTACTAGATCATTGTTGGGATAAGATTAAAAATCTACATGTTTATTCCTTATTGGGTTTAAGTACCCATAAAGATGTAAAATGTTACCCAACTATGACAAAGTTTAGGGGTTTAGGGTTTAAGGGTTTAGGGTTTATAGGTTTAGAATTTAGGGTTTTTTTTTAAGCGCCTCTTTTCCGACTGGCAGGTGCTTTGTCAGAAATCCCTAGCGGGAAGGCAAACTGGCTACTTACGAGCCAAACTGCACTTTCCCTTGGTACCGCACAGCACGAATCAGTTGCCACCCTGGTCATCCGAGATCTCGTGTATATTCCCTTTTCCCTCCTTTTGCGACACACCTGTTGTGGCTAGATGTTCGGTTTCCTCCATATCCGCTGCCCTTTGTGCCAGGAAAGCCACATAACAGTGTTCCCCAACCCTCTGGAATTTAGGGGTTTAGGGGTTAGGGTTAAGGGGTTTAGGGGTTTAGGGTTTAGGGGTTAGGGTTTAGGGTTTTGGGGTTTAGGGTTTAGGGCTGTTTGGGGTTTAGGGTTCTTCGGGGTTTAGGGTGTAGGGTTTGGTGTCAGTGTTCTGAGTAGGATAAGTCCCGACCCTGTGACCTCTTGGGGCTTAGGGTTTCGTTCTTAAGAATGAGTCAGCGGGTTCATGTCTCTTTTACGCTCCTCTTGTGATGCTCACGCTGATGGCCAATGCCTCTACAAAAAAAACTGCTGGCAGCACAGGGACACGCGCCAACTCCCTGAACTGTAAGCCTCCTTCTTAAAGGATCGTGGGACTTAGTAAGTAGGTTATAACTGGGGTTATAAGTCCCCTAAGTGGGGTTATCCTACTTATTGCTCCTTATAACCTTACTTACTAAGTCTCATGAGCCTTTAAGTTGAACCCTGAGAAGGATTCCCGATGCTCTAGAATCTCGGTGTGCAAAGCATCCGAGAACCTTCGGGAGCACACTAAACCCTTCAACACGAAATCTACTAATCTGTGGATTAGATACTGCCCCTTTACAGTAGGAGTCTACAACGGGGCTACTATTAAGGTCTTAATATATCTATACTATGAATATTATTCAACTATTACTGAGTGGGGGCCGTACCCAACCTGTGGATCCAGAATGAGCTGTCGCAGTGACTAACAGCAGAACTCTCTCCCTATTCATGCTCAAACAACTCTCCAAACCCACAACAAACCCCACGTAAGCAAGACAACAACCAGGAGCAAGAACCCATAAGACCCTCCTAAACCCTGAAAAACCAGAACGGTAACACTGTACCCTATCAGCGCTGTATGCCCGGAGCCCTACGAACCCAGCAATGAGACCTCAAACTCTCAACCCCCAACCCTAGACCCTTAAACCCGAAACCCTGAAATCCTAAACCCTGCCGCATCCTGAACTGGCCTCTTCCTACACCTGTCACCGCAACCGCCTGCTTTACGAGCCCTTCGCTGTACCCATGAAGAAAGCCCTTAAACACGCCCTGCAAAGGAATCCTTAAACCCTTGAAGGAAACTTGAAACTCTTACAGGAACCCAGAGTCCTCCTCTTGCTCTTCGTCAGCCGACTTGCGATGGCCTCCCACTGCGGGTTAGAGGGACTGTTGTGTTGAGGCCGTAGGCGACTAACACAAGATTGAGGGTTTAAGTGCGTTTAGCAGATTGAGCTCCAATTAAAAAGGTTTACGGTTACGGCAGTAGGGGTTTCGGGGTTCAACGGGCCGAACGTGTTTAAAGGGTTTTGGCCATTGAGTTTACGTGTTCTGAGGATCGACAGTCATCACTAGTAGTCATCTGGCATGATCCGAGCCGCATGGCTAATCTGACCAGCCACACAAGCCTGACCACGGAAACCCCACCCCCCCAAAACAAACCTACACCCAAAATGCCAGAACCGAAATTCGAACTCGCGTACTCCTACACCTGCCCTCCTCTCCGGCGCACCTTGCATCGACGACCAGGGCCAGACATTAGGCCCATGCGATGCTCTCGGCCATCATTGAAATGGTTTAGGGTCGAGGCTTGGGGTGGAAAAGAACAAACGGTAAACCGCAAACCCCAACGCAAGACAGCAAGTCCCAACAGGTCTCCAGTGTGGCTACTGGGAGCGCGGGGCAGTATTGGGGCCCGAATAACCACCAGCACTCGTACTCGTCATAAGGGTTCCTGAAGATCGGTATACCATAATGTACGCAGAAAGCCCTATGCCATATAAGCATCGAGGCCTCTATAATTGCGTTCGACTGACCTCCTCATGTGCAGCAAGCTTCTGCTTGGCCGTCGGGCTGAGACGGCGGCCGGGCACTGGGTTCTACGGTGTAGGCATCAAGGCTTGTTTAGGGGATGTCGGGTGTAACCCGCCACAACCCTGAACCCTGTGCAAAACGTGGAAGTCTAAAACCCCACAACCCTCGTTAAGAAAAACGCCCCAATAATTGGAAGAGAGTTTCGGTAAAGCTATGCTGTAAGTCTATGAGGGATTATAAGGGATATTGGCATCAATTAGTCCGACCCTGTATTGGGATGACGGAGCCGCAGCAGGATCCCAGCTCGGCTGTAGGATTTCAGAAAGAGCTTGCAGGGTTTCGGGTGAGGGTTTAGGGATCCGAGTTTAGGGGTTAGGCTTTAGGGCCGTTAAGGTTTAGGGTTAGGTTTACGATCCAGGTTTATGGTGGTAGCCGGGTTGTGCGGGTTTAGGGGCATTAAGGGTCTTCAGGGCTTCGGCGCTAGGATGTCTTAGAGGAAGCCAGAGACAGAGACGGGGTGTGTAAGGCTGCATTCCGGCATAAGTGTACGCAGACCCCTACACTACGACTAGATGTTGCGTCGGTTTTGCCACTCGCACTGGGATGGCTTCCGGAGTACATTGGTCGGCATGCACTCTTTGACCCCATGTTGCAAAGCAGGGGTGGCGCGGCTTGAAACCTGAATCGGCACCCATGGTGTCGGGAAACGGCGGGCACAGCCTGGACCCTCAGGAAACACGTCAGCCCTCAACCCTCAACCAGAATCCCAGACCACAACTCTAAGCCCTACGAGGGCAAACTGGAAACTCTGAACCCTGGAAAGAAACCCTCAACGGAACCCCTAAAAGGAGCCCTTCAAGGGTCCCCAGAAGGGACTCTAAAACAAAGGAGCCCCACTGCACCGGTCATCAGCCAAAGGCTTCAGCGATCATGCGAACGCGCATGTCATCGAGGAACCTGGGTGCCGTCAAGAACTAACGCTTAAACCCTTAACCCTAAGGCTCAAATTGGCCCAAAAGCCTTCTATAACATGGTCTTTAGGCCCGAAAGCCTTAACATAAGAGTCCTTAGATCCCTAATCCCTATAGATCCCTTTAAAGGACCCCTTATAGATCCCTTTTAAAGGAACCCTATAGGAGTCCTTAGAGCCTTAGGGTAACTGCCTTCCTGCGTTTTGCATGAACCCCTCAGAGCAATGGCTCGGATTTCAGGCTTTACATCGGCCCGGTGTTTAGAGTTCACCGTGTGTTTAGTCTAAAGCCTGGGCTGTTTAGGGTTTTTTTTTTTTAAGTTGGGGTGACGGGCTGTTTAGGGTTTAGGGTTTTGGGTTTAGGAAAGCTTGGGCTGACCTGTCGAGAGCTGCAGGTCGCGGGCTTTTTTCGGCTTGAGGCTGGGGTTTGGGCTTGAAGTGCAACTTGGAGGCCCTTTTGACTTAGTAAGTAGGGGTTCCTTTAAAGGGGTCCTAAAAGGGGTCTATAGGGGGTTCCTTAAAGGGATCTATAGGGTTTAGGGTTTAGGGGTTACTTGGAGGCCCTTTTGACTTAGTAAGTAGGGTTAGTAAGGTGGGTCATGGGGTTTCTAATAGGGTTTCTAGGGGATACTAAGTAGACTTACTAAGTCAAAAGGGCCTCCAAGAACTTCAAAGTAGAAGCTGCCTCCGCAGTCAACCCCGATTACAGCCAGACCCCGATAAAACAAATGGACCTGAATCCCGGGACTCCTGAAAAAGGAGGAACCTCAAATGATGTTTAGAGACTCTAAACCCTAAGAAACTTTAATGTAGGGGCCTTAATAATGAGGATAGGGTTTTGGGCCCATTTCTATTTTATCGCCCAAGATAGTATTATTGGTAAATATTTAGGCGGGTACAGTACCCCAAGAAAACCGGCCAGTTGAAGCCGCGTCTCAACTTCTGAACGCCTTGCACTGCAGGCGATGGCCCGCAACAGAAGAGGAGCACCAGCCCACCCCCGCCCTTGGACAAGGCGTCCACCTCGGCAGTGTTGGGATCTACAGCCTGGCGTTTTTATGTTGTTGGATTCTTGGATTTGTGGGTTTGGATTTATGGGGTTAGGGTTCAGGGACGCCTGCAAACCCCTCGTAGAACTGTGATAGAGCAAACCCTTACTGAGCACCGAACCCTAAAACCCTCCATCTATAAATCCCTGAACCCCAAACTCCAAAACTCTAAACCACTCTAAACCTAATGGAACCCCTAACAAAACCCCTACAGAACCCTTTCTGCAGGCACCGAGCCACCTCACCAGTGAGCATTTTCCCCCACTGGGACCGGCTCTGTCTCTCGTCCGGCTTCGCTTGTGACGAGTCCTTGGGGGCAGGGTTTAGGGTTTAGGGGTTTGGGGTTTTGCAGGTTTAGGGTTTCAGGGTTCAGGGTTTAGGGGTTTGTTTAGTGTTAAGGTGTTTAGGATTTAGGGCTTAGGGTTTAGGTTAGGTACGGCCCCCATACAGTAAGAGTCTATATTCGGGCTACTAGTAAGGTCCTACTATATCTATATTATGAATAGTATTCGACTATTACTGAGTGGGGGCCGTACCCAAGGTTTAGGGTTGTTTTCTTATAGGGGCTGAGTAGCCTAGCCAAAAAAGGTTAACGTTTTCAATTATGGTAGGATTATATGCTACAGCATATTTATAGAAAACCCCAAAAGGTTAAAGCTTATCAACTCAGCTACTAAGTATTTTTTGACAGGGAAGCTTAGGGGCTTTTGGGGTACAGGCTTGTGGTTTCGGGTTAAGGGCTTGGGCTTAGGGTTTAGGGCTCAGGGTTAAACTGCTGAGATTAGAAGATCTCTCATTGACCCTGAACCCGAATCACTTATTTATAGAATCCCGTATCGAACCTTGTATAGAACCTTGAAGAACCCTTCCGAAAGCCCTTAAAGGCCCCCTACTTAAAGGATCATGGGACTTAGTAAGTAGGTTAGAATTGGGGCTATAAGTCCCCTAAGCGAGGTTATCCTAATTATAACCTACCTATAACCTTACTTACTAAGTCCCATGATCCTTTAAGTATGGTACCCACGCGCACCTCGCTGATGGAGATCCGCAGTTGCTCCCCCCGGCGCAGGCCGTAGGCTGCGCAAACCGGCTCCTCGGAAACTTAAGGCTCAAGGGGTTTTGGGCTTACCGTAAGCCTGAGTAACCTCCGTTTTTAGGGTTCCTTATTATGAGTTCTTTATATAAGTCCTTTTTCTTGGTAGGTTATTAGGTTCAGGTAGGGCTTAGGGCTTAGGGGGTTTAGGGTTTAGGGCTTAGGGGGTTCAGGGGTTATGGCTCACCCTGAACCCCCGAACCCTAAAGGATTCATGGTGCAGGGCCTGGGGTTGAAGCTTCGGGGTGAAGAGACGGAAGGGACGGTTTTTCAAGGCTTAGGGTGGGAGATCTGCGATGTCAAGCTCCAAGTTGTAGGCTCATGCGATGGGGTGTGGTGTTTAGGAATAAGACTTTTGGGATAGCTTGGGGGTCTGAATACTTAGTCTAGAGCTGAGAATGATAGGGCTCTGATTAACGAATGATGTGTTACGGCTTAAGCTTGACATCTAGGGTTCCAAAAGTGAGAGTTCTTAGCCGATTAAGAAAGGGCTTGATAGTGCAGTCCTTTGTTGAGGGGTCTTGAGCTCTAGACTCTCGACATCTCTCAGGGAACCCTGTCTGAAAGGCAACTTCCAAGCAAAAGAGCTCGGCTTCAACCTGGGAGTTTCCAGTACCTTATTTGGGGATTCTTATAATAAGGATCCTACTACTTAGGGTGCTATCTTAGCGTCCCTACTTTCGGAAACTCCCACATGAAGAGCCGCGCACTGAGGCATGCCGCATGCTCGAAAGCCTTGTGAGACCCATCTGAACTGCTGCGAATGCCTGATAACACCACAGACATAGAATCCATAAATCCTACCATGCCCTCTGCGTCGACTCTACGCCCTTTTCTAAAACTTGAAATAAATACTGTTGATGATGTAAATCCTGCCCCTAGACTATGGGAATTATGGTAAAACCCTTATTATGGGTAATGCAGGAGTTATATCATCAACCGTATGACATTGTCTGAACATGCACGACAACTAGGATACCCAGTAACCTAAGAATAAGAAGGCCTCTCTTTTTGGTATTGGGTAACTTTATAAGGAACCTAGGACTACAAAAAAGGAATAAGGGTACTACTGGGCATCCTAGAAAACATGACTGAAGGAGTCAGAGGCTCCACAGCGTCCGCGTACTCCGGGGAGGGGGTCCGGATACAAAGCCTCTGTCGTCTGACAACGAATGTAGTAAGGCTCCTTATAATATAGGGTTCCTTAAAAAGGAACCCATAAGGGATCTATAGGGTTTCTATAAGAGTTCTATAAGGAGGATCATGGGACTTAGTAAGTAAGGTTATAAGCACCTTCATCGGGGTTAGAAGTAATTATACGTATAGTTACCTCATTTATAACCCCAGCTACTAAGTCCCATGATCCTTTAAGTGGATTTTGGAGTTTGGGAGCCACAATAGGCACATATGGTTGACAACGCTAGGGATGTATGGTAGACAATGTACTTCCTCGTTGCGGCGACTTCAACCCCGAACCCCAGACACTGAAACCCTACACTCTGAAACCCTTGAAGTCCTAAACCCCGAACCCTAGACTTTTGTTGTATTCTCTTTTTTTCGAAGAAGAACCACCCTAGACTGACTCTGACACCCTTAAACATTGAGTCGCCAAAGCGTGAAGCTCGAGAAGTGAACCTTCAACCCTGCTATGGTAGCTTCGCGTCAACGTTCCGTCACATGGGCCCAAGGCAAAACCACCCTAAACAGACAACCATGCCCAAAAAAAATGGACCCTGTTTTCAACCTAGAGTCATGAATCCCTAAACCCTGAACCCCAAAACCCCCACCCACACTCCGAAACTCCTCAACTCTGACCCCGAAACCCGAACCTCAACCCTGAACGCTTAACCTTAAACCCTCCACCCAGAACCCTTAACCTTTGTGACAACCTTAAACCCTCAACCCTAAACACCCAACCCCTAAACCCCCAAAAAGGAGCCCTTAAAGGAACGCTTAAGGAGCGCCTTAAATGAGCTCTTAAAGGCCCCTTTACTGCACGCACCCAGGGGCCGCATCGCTTCCGGTGGTATCTCGGCCTCCCCGAGCGATTCTTCGGGCTTTCGGTGTTTGAGTGTTCAGGATGTAGGGTTCAGGGTTCAGATGGGAGTTTCCCAAAATTAGGGGTATCTTGTTTTGGGGTCTTTAAAATAAGAATCCTATTATCTAGGGTACTGATCGTCCCCTGTTTTGGGAAACACCCAATATAGCTTCTTGATTCTGGGGTCTGGGGCGCCAGGGTTTGGGGATGTTGGGTCTCTCGGGCCACACGGTTCGAAGTTTCCCTGCTTAGGTTTGGCACCCGAGGGTTTGAGTTCGAAGCCCAAGATCCCCCCTGAACCCTAAACTCTACACGCCTAGACCCCCTAGACCCCCTAAACCCCCTAAACGCCCTAGACCCCCTAAACTCCCTGAACCCCCTGAACCCCCTGAACCCCCTCAACCCCCTGAACCCCCTAAACCCCCTAAACCCCCTAAACCCCCCCAACCCCCCTACACCCCCTAAACGCCCTACACCCCTTAAACCCCTAACCCCCGCCTCATGGGCGTGGAACATGGGATGCACACAGCCGGTGAAGCCCACACCGATGGCCACGAAGAGCAGGCGATGGACGTCCTTGATGGGAGGCCAAAAGGGGGGCTTGAGATTCTTGGGGTGCGGATTCCTTAATATGAACCCTATTCCGGGAACCCTAATCCCTACTAAACCCCCATAGGCCTACACCCTAAACCCTAAACCCTAAACCGTGAACCCTACTATGGGAACCCTAATCCCTACAACCCCCATAGGCTAAAACCCCTTTTGGCCTCCTATGAGTCCCTTATAGATCCCTTGCAAGGAAGCCCTACAGATCCCTTTAAAGGAACCCTAGGGATCCCTAAACCCCCATAGGCTAAACCCCCTTTTGGCCTCCTACGAGTCCTTGAGCAGCTCCTCCTGACCAAAGGTGCCCAGGGTGTTCATGGGCCCCGCCACCTCGAGGTGGATCGGCTCCTCGGGGACCATTCTTTTGGGGATCTAGGGTTTAAGGATTTAGGGATTTAGGGATTTCGGGTTTAGTAAGGGTTCAGGGATTTAGGGTTTAGGGTTTAGGGGTTTAGGGATTTAGGGGGTTAAGGGTTTCTGGGCAAAGGATTTTTGCTTGTTTGTCCCACCTCGGTGCCCTCTCGCGCGCGGGCGTGGTCGTACAGGCGGTGGGCCCAGTTCTGCTTCTCCTGGGTTGGCTTTTAAACGCCATGAAATATGTGTGTATATATATATATATATATATACATATATGTATCTATATTTATTTGTTTATATTTATACATATGTATATATATATATATAGGGTCCTTTATAAACCCAGAGAAGGAAAACAAAAAATGTCCCAAAACCCAACCTAGTCTCGGCATTCGGCTGCAGTCGGATGTGGTACTCCACCTGCCAGCGATTGCGCCGGCTGGGTGATGGATACGCGATCTGCGTCAGCGGATGACGGCCATTCACGCCCACCACCTGAACGCATGAAAGCCACACAACCATCGGACAGCAGATGTCACGCTCTTTCGTCGAACACATACTCTGTTGCATCCCTCTTTCACATTGCATGCTCTCCCTCTCTCGCTCTCTCTCGCTCTCTCTCTCTCTGTCTCTCTCTCTCTCTCTCTCTCTCTCTCTCTCTCTCTCTCTCTCTCTCTCTCTCTCTTCTCTCTCTCTCTCTCTCCTCTCTCTCTAGCTACCTGCCTATCTGTCTGTCTGCCATTTCTGTCTATCTGTCTATCCGTATCTATGTCTACATCTATATGTATTTAGACTTCTTTCTCTATATCTATATCTATATCTGCATCTATATCCGTATCTACATCTATATCTATATACATACACAGATGCGCACAGTAGGATGTGTAGCAGCTGCTACGGTCTTCAGAGGTCCACCTGCAGCAGCACCGCACCCGGCTCGGCTTCAACAAAGGTGTCCTGCGAGGATCAGGGTACTGTTTAGAGTTTGGTTTAGGGTTTAGGGTTTGGGGTTGTGAGTTTAAGGTGTCGGGTTTTGAGTTTAGGGTTTATGGTGTAGGGTACTTGTCCTAAACCCCAACCCAAGACCCCAAACCCGAAACCAAAGAGCCAGAAGAATGCATAGTTGGTCTGCAGAGCATGTCCTCTGAGCGCAACACGAGGATCGCTCCGTTGAACTGACCTGAAACATGTCCAGCACAGCATGCTAAACACTAAAGACCCATATCCCCATGTATAAATACACAGATTAGGCTTTAGGGCTTATTTCGAGAAAGAAGCAACCAACTAGTTCGTGGACTGGTTCATCTAGCCATCAAGCTATCTATCTATCTGTCTATCTATCTACCACCCTCCAGCCCAACCCACCAACCTACCTCCCCAAAACAAACATATGCTTCATGAACACACACACACATATATATATATATATATCACATATATATATATATATATGTATACACACATACACTTCTTCATGCATTTACTTATGTACCTCCTGGGCCGGTCTTTATTTATCTATTGATTTATTCATGTGGTTGCTGTTTACTTATCCTATCAAACAAACCCTTGAGGACATCTAAACTCAAGTTTGCTTTGAGATTCCAACGAAAATATGAAGGTGTGGTACGCAGCATGTTAGGTTTACACCCGTGTCCGTACAGGTTATGGGTTTCTGCAACAGGGTATGGACGGCCTTGGGCATTGAGCATCTTGAGGATCCGCTGGCTGCAGCCTGGGTTCTTGTTAAAAGGATCTAAACTTAAGTTAGCTTAGGGTTTATGGTATGGGGTTTAGGGTTGCCAAGATGTACCCTATTATTTACGAAAGATCCCTCATATGGTTGCCAGAATATACCTATTAGATTATTTCCTATAGATTCCTCATATAATTACCCTACTATTTACCATAGTTCCCTCATATGGTAGCTTAGATTAAGTTCCTTAGCAAGAGCCCAGCAGCTGATCTGGCTGGCCCGGGATCGCTTGACGGTCCGGTCAATGACCCACAGAAAGAGGATCCTCAGCTGTTGCTTCTATATAGATCAACGGTTGAAACCATGGGCCCCTAGTATGGGCCCATAGCCTTGGGATCGTCATATACCTACCATATACCCTATATATATATATATATATATATATATAGTCCCTTAAGGGTTTCTAGAACCTCCTCAAAAAGGCCTAAGGGTCCATATTAGGGGCCCATACTTCCAACCTTGGAATAGAGGACCCAAGAAATACCAGCATTATCGCTTAGGGTCCTTCTCCGTGTATATGCTATTATTTATCCCAGAGCTCTAGTCTAACTATTAAGGCCACTATACCCACAGGGTCTTCTAGAAGTGAAAACAGGGCCTTCGCGGGGTTTTGAAGAACTCAAATAATTGAACTTATGATAATAGATGTGCCGAAAAAATAAGTTTACCTAGCAAACGTCCTCAATATTGTGTTACTTAAGAAGAACCGAGGATCAGGGACATGAACCACCAAAGCCGGGGCGGACCAAAGTTGGCAGTGAAGCCATGCAGGCCCGCAAGCACCAGGAGCAGCGACCCCAACACGCGCTTATTGCGGATGAAGAAGTCGTAGCACTGCCTTCCCGTGGCCTACGCCCGAAACCTTAGAGCCAAAACCCAAAACCTTAAAGGTTAAACCCAAAACCTGAGAGCCTAAACCCGAAACCCTGAAGCCTAAACCCAAAACCCGAAGCCTAAACGCCTGAACCCGAAGCCCCAAACGCCTCAACTCGGTTTAAGGTTTAGGGTTTAGGGTTTAGGGTTTAGGGTTTAGGGCCTTTTCATGGCCCAAAAGGAGATGTAGAGGATGAGGCCCAGGAGAAGGATCAGAACACCAGTTCCCCAAGGCCAAAGCCAGGCGTACGCGTTCCCCTTCCAGAGGATGGTGGTGTACTTCTCAATGCTCCCGGCCTGACTTTGGTACAATTTAGAGGGTTTAGGGTTTAGGATTTTGGGTTTATGGTTTAAGGTTTAGGGTCCTAGGGAAAGGGTTTTGAGTCTTGGGTTGCTTCCGACCTTGACGAAGGACCATATGTGGCCGGCAGCATGCAAGATCACCGCCAACACAAAGAGGTGTGCAGCGTTCCTGGGTTCTTGTTGAAGACTGTATGGAGTTGGGACAACCAGGATAAAAAGCAATTCCTGGCACTTAGTTTAAGTTCGTCATTAAGAACCTACAAAGCCCCTTATAACAACATTTCCTGAAAACACGCTTTTTACCAGGCTCCGATGGTATGTGATGAAGGTCAGGCCCTCACCGGGCCACATGGGAACAGAGACATTGGCGGCCTTATTCACGGGTTGGGTTTGGAGCTCAGAGGCTTAGAGTTCAGGGCTTGGGGGTTTGGGGTTTAAGGCTGAGGTTGTACTTTAGCGTTTCGGGCTTAGGGTTCGTGATTCGTGGACGGCGGCCTTGTTCACAAGGTTCACCATGAATGGGAGGACCGTCACGAAGAGAGCTGGCATGGCGAAGTACATCATGCCCGCCCCACCCTCGGGATTCTGGTTCAGGAGCAGAATTGTTCCTTAAACTTTTTACTGCCAACGAGGTGCTGAAAGCTTTTCTTAGGAACTTGTTACGAGTTACCGCATAGAGGAAACCAGACTACTAGCTCTGTATATACGTAGATACATATGTATGTATAAATAGATATATGTATGCATATACCTATATTTATAAGAATATTCATGTGCATGCGTCTGCACATTCCCTAAATGTCCCATGTACTTGCACATTAAAGCATATACGTACACACATACATATACGCGTACATAGGCATAAGCATATGTATGTATGCGTGAATATACAATACATACGGAAACATATACCTGTACATATATATATATGTATTAAGTATACATTAACAAATACACGGACCTAAACAAGTACACATACACACGTGCGTAGGTATACATGTACTTCTACCTGTACCCATACGTATACATGTACACATCCATATACACATACAGATACACATAAACATACACATTCACTGCAGACACAGATGCAGATACAGATGCTGATATACACACATATATACATATACATAGACATAGAGATAGACATGAACACGAACATGTGCATGTACATATACATGCATATACATGTGCATATACATACAAACAAGCATACACAGATACAGACACCTATGCATATACTATTACTCATGTCGAATATTAAGCCCAAAGATTAAACACACCTCCCTTCTCTTATAGGATACTGATAATACCACCACATGACAAAACAGTGAACACTCCTCTATCATGGTCTCCCCCTTACAAGAAACCATAGACTCATAGACTTCCGGAAGAGTCTCTAAAATCTATGGAAAAGTCATACTTAAAGGCTCGTGGGACTTAGTAAGTAAGGTTATAAGTAGGTTATAATTAGGATAACCCCACTTAGGGGACTTATAACCCCAGTTATAACCTACTTACTAAATCCCATGATCCTCTAAGTAGCAATCGTTATGCTCAGAGTAACAAAAACGACAATAAGCATACATGCTATAATCATAACAAACCCGTCAAGGCCTCCCTATAAACCCTAGACGATAGACCTAAACTCTAAACCCGAAACTCCGAGGGTTACTTACAACCTAAATCTAAACCCAAAGAAATATCTTAAACCCCGAAAAAGTATCACAAACCTATAAAAAGTATTTTAAACGCCAAAGAATTATCTAAAACACCCAAAAAGTATCTTAAACCCCAAAACAATATGTTAAACCCTAAAAAAAGTATCTTAAACCCCCCCCAAAAGCAGCATTTTAAACCCTAAAAGGGTATCTTGAACTAGATCCCAGCCTTGGCCAGCGCCAGCGCACCCCCGCCGAGCTCCGCAACCTCCCGACCGGCCGGGGAAGAGGCGAAGAGGATGGCGCGCGCGCCCCAGGCCTGAGGGGGTTCCCTTTTAAAAGGATCCCTGAAGGGAACCTTTAAGGATCCTTTAAGGGATCCCTGAAAGGATCCCTTAAGTCACTTAAGGGATATCTTTGGGATCCCTTAAGAGACGCTTATGTCCTTTAAGGGATACTTTGGGGAACCTCTTTAAGGGAAGCCTCAAAGGGGTTCAGGGCTCCTTTCAGGAACCTTCAAGGAGCCTCCAAGGTCTGGAAAGGAACCTTCACGGTGCTAGACTTACCTTTTTGGTTAGTAGGGAATAGGGCTCCTTTAAAGGGAGCTATAGGGTTCCAATAAAGGGATCTATAGGGGTTTAGGGCTCCTTAAAGGGATCTTTACCTTTGGTTAGTAGGGAATGGAGGAATGGTAGGGTTCCTTTCAAGGGATCCTTAAAGGGATCTATAGTAGGGTTCTATATTAGGAACCTTAAAAAATTAAATTTACCTTTGGTTAGTGGGGAATGGAGGAATGGGGTACAATTATAACTACTATTACTACCATTCTTCCATTCCCTACTCACCAAAGGTAAGTAGAAGGAAGCTTTACAGGCACAGGACCTTTCAGGATACTGCAAAAAGCTCCTGCAGGGGTTTTATGGACCGGGCAGGGTTTTGTTTGAAGGCGTTCATTCAAGGTTAGGAGAGTTCCATAGAGATTCCTTTGCTGGTTCCTTCAAGGGTGTCGTAAGGTCTGGGTTTTAGGGTCTTGGGCGTAGTTTCAGGGTTCTTCGCATGCAGGGCTTCACGTTTTAGGGTTTCGAATTTTTGTTGAAGGGCCCAAGGTTTGGAGCTTACGGCTTGGTTTCAGGGTTCAGGGTTTCAGGGCCTCTGCTGCTACTACAAGGATATAGATACATAGAACGACAGATAGATATATATATATATATATATATAAATCGACAGACAGGTCGCTAGATCGACGGACCGACAGATAGACAATAGATAGACCGATAGATCGACATATAGATAAATGAGTAGACTTGTAGATAGATACGTAGATAGACCGGTAGTTCGAGAGATCGACAGAAAGAGCGACAAATAGATAGACCTAAGGACCAATAGATCGATAGATCGGTAGATCGGTAGATGGATAGATACATAGATAGACAGACACACAGACAGATAGATAGATAGATAGATGGAAATGATTGATAGATAGGTAGATCGATGGATAGATGGATAGCAAGCTTGCCAGTTGGCTGGCTAGCCAGATACAAAGCAAGATAAACGGCAGCTGATCGGGAGGTAGGTAGATAGGTAGTTAGGTAGGAAGGCAGAGATGTAGGGTTGTAGATGAAACTTCTTGACCTATTGGTTCATGTATTTACTCATGTAGCTCTTTGTTCGAAGCATAGAATCAGAACAGCTATATCTCATTACAGCAGCTTGAACAAAGTTCCTTAAACACCACCCAGAGGCCCCGAAGAGGAAGGTGCCCAGGTAGAGGAAGAAGAGCACGAGGCCGTTGTTGAAGCCACAGGCCCGGAGGTCGTTCATGGTTTGCTGGGGAGCCCGCTTGTCGATCGTGCCTGGGGGCACCAGAAACCCTATAAACCCTAAACCCTAAGTTACTAAGCCCTAAACCCTACGACCCTAAAACAGAGGACCGAAAAGACGGGAACCTAAGTTCCGAGGTCCTAAGCGCGAGTCTCGGAACCCTTTCGGGGGAACCCTTTGGAGGAATCGTTAAAGAAACCCTTGAAAGAACCCCTGAAGGAACACTTAAAGGAACCCTTAAAGGAACCCTTTAGATAGGAATCCTTTAAAGGGGTGATTCCAGAGAACACTGATTGTTAGATCCTTGTGGTTAGGAGTTAGTAGGTCTTTTGGCCCCAGTACCGGTGATGATCAGCGTGACGGGCAACCACTGAGTGAAGAGGTCGTTTAAGGTGTCCATCTCGGCATCAGTGAAATCCTCACTTGGTTTGAGGGCGTGGGTTGGGGTGCGGTTTATGGCGCCAAGATACCCACGTACCGGCAATGTTGCCGGACAACCCTGAACGAGTACAGCGACCCTGCCCCAGCCCGAAACCCTAAACCATAAACCCTCAACTCTAAACTCTAAACCCTGGCCTTAATCGTACATCCAAGACCCAAAGCCCCTAAACCCTAAACCCTAAACCCTGGCCCTAATCGTAAATCCAAGACCCAAAACCCCTAAACCCTAAACCCTGGCCCTAATCGTAAATCCAAGACCCAAAGCCCCAAAACCCTAAACCCTAAACCCTGGCCCTAATCGTAAATCCAAGACCCAAAACCCCTAAACCCTAAACCCTGGCCCTAATCGTAAATCCAACACCCAAAGCCCCTAAACCCTAAACCCTGGCCCCCATCGTAAGTCCAAGACCCAAAACCCCTAAACCCTAAACCCTGGCCCTAATCGTAAATCCAAGACCCAAACCCCTAAACCCTAAACCCTGGCCCCCATCGTAAATCCTAGAACCCCAAACCCCTAAACCCTAAACCCTGGCCCTAATCGTAAATCCAAGACCCAAAACCCCTAAACCCTAAACCCTGGCCCTCATGAACCCCAAAACCCAAAACCCTGGCCCCCATCGTAAATCCTAGAACCCCAAACCCCACCATCCTGAGAGAAGACGTCTGGCTGCACCACCCCTCTCGCCACAACGAGGAAGTCGGTGGAGGTGCCCAAAACGATCGCGACCACCATCATCTGGCTCAGGGTGGCCATGTTGCTCCTTCGCGCTCTACGGTTTTAGAGTTTAGGGTTTCGGGCTTCAGGGTTTAAGGCTTCGGCAGTAGGGTTTTAGGGTTGTGGTGTTTAGGCCTTCAGGGTTCAGGGCTCAGGGTTTGGGGTTCAGGGCTTGGAGTTGACATTTCCCAGGCAGAAATTATGGGTAACCATAACTATAACCCATATTAGGGGACTTATAACCCCATTTGTAAGTAACCATGAACCTCCAAGTATAGAGAAACCCAGCTTCGAAGATCCTTCCTATACAGTGGGCTCCTGAAAGGACCTACCCGAAGCAATGCATCCGGACGTCCATCGTAGAGTTCTTGTCACTTCAGCCCCGAATCAAGGTTCTCTCAAGACTAGAGGCCGGAAAAGTTGGAGCTTCATTATCCTCGTGCCCTCTACTTGGAGGGGCAGGAGACTCAGTAAGTCGTTTATAAGTCGGGTTACAAGTGGGGTAACTAAATTTAGGGTACTTACAACTCTGCCTATAACCTACTTACTAAGTCCCCTGCCCCTCCAAGTAGGTAGAGTATCGGGAATCCTCGACCGCCCGATGATTCGTAGTCGTATCCCGTGTTCCAACTTTGTGGGCCAAACCGGACATGTCGGATTAAAGCTTCCAAGGTCTAAAGTTCACGTCTAGTGTCTCGGGGATTAGGATTCCAGGACTATGATTCCAGGACTATGCTTTTCGGCTTCGAAGTTTAGGACCAGCAAAAAAAAAGACAGGCGTCAGAAAGAGGGAAGTTCAGGGTCTGGATTTAGGGTTGAGGGTTTAAGGTTTAGCGCTTAAGGAGGGTTCAGGGTTTAGGGCACGAGCGCTACAAAGACGGGCTGGCAGAAAGATACAGGGCAAGCAAAGCCGGACACCAGTTTCGGGTCTGGGAAAGGAGAAAAAACGTACAAACCTGTATTTCATAATGGTTCTTTTAAGAAAAACTCTTAAAGTATGGTACTCCAAAGCTCAAGGGTCAATTTTGTTAGATTCAGCCCACCTCTCCTCATCTGTGCGCTGAGGCGTTCGTTCAGAGGATGTTCCAAGTACGCACTCGCCCGCAGGAAGTGGGCCACGGCCATCAGGAACCGGTAGGAAATGCGTGAGAAGCGAGCCTGGACTTTGAAGCAACCAGGGGAAAAAAGTACAGACTTTTATTTCATAATGGTTCCCTTTAAATAGCAGGTCCTGAAAAAAGACTTAAAGTAGGGTACTCCAAAGCCTAGGAGCTAAGGTGGAGAGCCAGTGGGGCGCCCCGTAGCCCGCCAGCAGCACACCACTGTGATAGGCGCGCAGCCCAATCAGGCACGCCTAGCTGCTGAAAGCAAAGTAAAACCCCTTCCAACCCCGTATTTGCGGGTCAGGGTTAACCCTAAACCCTAAACCCTAAACCCTTAAACCCGCAAACAGAACTCCAATCGTGGTCAGGGCTTTGGGGCTTAGGATTTGAGAATTGAACGGGTTTAGGATTCAGGGTTTGGAACTGGTTTAAGGACTCCTCTTCAGCTTTCAAAAACTCCCGAAGCCCAGCAACCCTGCCAGCAAAGCCGAAAACTTCAAAGCCCCCAAGCAGGCACAGCATACACCAAACAAACTACGAAGAACTCCTATGACCCAGGTACTAACAAGATCTGCCAAAACAAAAATTAGCCAAATCAATAGAAAGGCTAGACCAATTGAAAATAGCTATGCACACCCAACTTAAGACTCCCAGCAAACACAAAACATCCTTGCTGAAAAGACAAGACACCAAATGTCAAAAGAAACGGCTCGATGTTGATCGGGTCTGGGAGGTATAATATACTATAATTATAAGAAGGAACCCCAAAACCCTATTCTAGCTATTCGGGCCCCTACATTCGACTTTAAGAGGAAACGAATGAAGGCCCGGCGGCCGCGACCCAAACGCAGGCAGAGGCAGCCCGAGGAGGCTCGAACGGCCGATCCTGCTGGGTTTTAGGGTTCAGCCCAGAGACTCCAATATCCCTTAATCAAGGAATATACCTTAAATTATACTAGGATCCCGAATATGATTTAAGGTCTATTCCTGAATTAAGGGATATTGGAGTCTCTGGCAGGGCTTAGGCCATTAGGGTTTAGGTTTCAGGGTTTGTGGGTTTAGGGCCCAGGGTTTCGGGGCATTAGGCTGTAAGGTTTAGGGGGCGGAGATCGCCGCTTAGGGTCTACGACTTAGGATTAAGGGCCCGGGTGTCTTTTGTAAGCTTTCTGGGGCTGTATGTCGGTTCTCACAGTTTTTATCCAAATCCTGTTGAGGCTTTGTTTACAGTTATCAACAGCTTTGATATGTTCAGGTTCAAGTGGTTCAAGGTTAAGCCACTCCAGTGTTATTGAAGCTTAAGGACTCAGAGGTTCTGGTCTCCGGGCTTCTAAAGCTTGAAAGTTAGGGTTCAGGAGGTCATGAACTTGAGGACAGCGTGTACGGTTTGTGATTTGAAGGGTTCAGGCTTCCAGGGATTAGAGAGCTTGAGTTGAGGTTTTAGGTTTGAGGTTAGGTTTCCGTGCCCGCAACATAACATACAGACATAGCCACAAAAAAACCCTAAACTCTGAATCCTAAGCCCCTAAACCCGTAAACCCCTAAACCCCTAACCTAAACCCTGAACCCAGAAATGTCGGGCCCCTCCTGAAATCCGGCAGACTGGGCCGGGTTGTCCTGGCGCCGCCGGCAGCAACCTGAACAGATATTTCAGAACCGGTCGGGAGCTGGCAGTGTCGTTGGGGGCCCATCCTCTTACCTTTGGTTAGTAGGGAATGGAAGAATGGTAGTAATAGTAGTTACAACCCATTCCTCCATTCCGTACTAGCCAAAGGTAAGTCCTAAGCCCTCAGCCGAACAACCCGTTCCGGCGTGCCCTATCTCCCGACCTTGCGGAACTTGACTATTCCTCCTCCTGCTGCGAGTGATACTGACGCTGCCCGCTACTCCTGCTGCGACCCCTCCTACTACTGCTCCTACCACTTCTTCTCCTCCTTCTGCTACTGTTACCCCTCCTCCTCCTCCTCCTCCTCCTCCAAATACTGCCAGTGCGACTGCTGCTTCCACTGCTGCTGCTGCTGCTGCTACCGCGACCTGGTGCTGCTCCGTCAAGGACAAGCCCTCTGAATCCGCCTTGGCGGTTGCTGCCCATGATATGGTCGGCATATGCAAAAAGCCGGCACTGCACGATGTAGGACAGGGTGCTGCCTTTCCGTCACAGGTCCAGGGTTTCGGGTTTAGGGTTTAGGGTCTGGGGTCTGGGGCTTAGGGTCTAGGGGTTGGGGATCGCCTGTTCAAGGTATGAGGACTGGCAGTTCCTATCCCCAGTCCCGCGCAAACCCGCAGCACAAGACCCGGTCGCGGCTTTCGGGCGCTTGGGATCTGCGCGAGCTTATCTGAGGGTCCACAGCTTCATGGTCTCGGAGGTTAAGTTCCGGCTTGCGGCTTGGAGTTTCGCGTAAATCCTAAGCTCTAAACCCTAACCCTGAACCTTACACCCAAAGCCCAGGGAAACCATCAGCATCTCGGCTGGGGATTGTTCTTTCCGGCGCCTGTCACGAAGCCAAGGACGGCCATCGGATCGTTTAAGTTTACACCTCGACTGCAAATTGCAAACAGAATCAAGTTTGAGGCGTTGTAATCTGAAACCAAATTTTTTACCATAGATCCCTATTACAGTAACTTAAATTAAGCTCTTAACAAGAACCCAGGTTAGGCTTTACGATTTGGGGTTTAGGTTTTCAGGTCCCGGGGATCAACATCCCAGCTCCAAGCGCAAACTGTTCACTGCGAAGTTGGCTAGCTGGCTACGGCTTCCAGGGTTTCGGGTTTAGGGTTTAGGGATTTAGGGTTTGGGCGCTTAGGGTTTAGGGGTTGAGGCTTAGGGTTTAGGGTTTACGGTTGCCCTGATTTCCCCAATCCTACACTGCGGGGACTTACGTTTGGGCTTTGGCTGGGAGCTTCACAGATTCCGCGCAGGCGCCGTTGACGTAGTCGTGGGCTAGGCTGTCCATGAGAATCCGCGCCGCGAGCTGGTAGAAACAGAGAAGCGTGGTACTAGCCATGAGCTTCCTGGGGCTGGGGCGGTTGAGGCTGACGGCTTTAGGGTCCTTCGGGGTTCTCCGAGAGGGGTTTCTAGAAAACCGTTCGTACGTTCGTACAGGTTTAGAGTTTGAGGTTTAGAGCCATGTCATGCGCCCAAGGTCTCAACGATTCTTCATATTCTGATCCTGATCTTCTGTCAACCCCAAACGCTAAACCCCAAACCCTAAACCCTGAACCCCCTAAACCCTAAACCCCACACCTTCAGCCCTGAATCACTCACCCCGCCCGGAAACCTGAACGGCAGGCCCGCGACCCGAAACACCGAAGCCCAAACCGTAAATCACCTACTCCCAAACCCCTGTGGTTTAGGGTTTAGGGTTCAGGGTTTAGGATTTACATGGTTTAAGGTTTAGGGTTAAGGGTTTTTGCCAGAGTTTCGTATACGTCGACCACGCTTTGCTTTGTATGCGGATGTCCACGGCAGCCGATCGCAAACACTCGACCAGGCCCCACGCAAAGGACGGGAGGTAGGCGATTTCCTGGGAGGCTCATGGCAATAGAATATTGGTTAGGTTTCTCGAAAGGTTTAGGGCTTTAGGGTTTAGGGTCTGGGAGTTCGGACGTTTGGAATTTATCGCTGGAAGTCAGCTCGAAACCTAAGCTTTAAACTCCAAACCCTAAACCCCTAAAACCCTAAAACCCTAAACCCTCCATGAAACCCCAAACCGTGGGATCCCAGACGAAGGCTCATGGGATTTAGTGACTGGGGTTATAAACAACGTAATTATAAGTAATACGTATAATTACTTGTAACCCCAACTAAGGTACTTATAACTTTAATTGCTCAGTCCCATGATCCTCCAAGTAAGGTGCAAGGAACCGATGCGCCCCAGTGTCCCTTCGTGTCAGATCCACTGTTATCCCTCAGAAAAAATGCCTTGTTACAGCTCTCGCATAACATACCCGTATTTTAGCTACCAAGGCCCCTAGCTTAAGTCCAGAAGTCCTACCATCATTTACTTACCTTTGTATAACTGCTATTGCTACCATTCTTCCATTCCCTACTAACCAAAGGTAAGTTTAGGGGTCTCGTTTGTTAACAGATTCTGGCACACATTTGACGATCAGGTGTTTACCGGAGTTGGAGCGGATCCTACAGTCCGGAACCGGGCCAAGTTTCGCAGGCATCTAATATAGGGGCCTTTATAATTAGAATAGGGTGTTGGTGCCCATCATACTACGAAAGTTGTAAGGAACCCCTCAAAACAGTATTGGTACTTGTTGAGGCCCCTGTGGTAGAGTTATTCGCTGCAGTCACCTTCTGCGAACGCTGCACGGCCATTGAAGCCGTAGAGCCCACGGTTGAGGGTTTTTTGGGGTTTAGGGCTTAGGGTTGAGGGTTCAGGCTTTAGGGCTTAGGGTTTAGGGTTTAGGGTTTAGGGGTTTAGGGTTTATAATATAGGGTTTCGGGCCATGTGACCCCAAAGCCTGCTCCAGAAGGTCTAAACTGTCTAAGCCCTCCAAAATCTCGAGAGCCATCGCAGGGCACACCGAATCTCGGCTGAGCGTCCGTGATTACGTAGTAGGCGCGTAGGACCATTTTCTCCTTTAGCCAAGGTATCGTCACACAGACTGTGTCAGAGGTGTTGTGGGGCGAAATCTTTGCCAACCCCACAATCTGAAGCACATAGATCCTCGGCAAAACATCGGGAGTTGTCGTTTCTTTTCGGAGGGCTTCGGGTGACATGGACTCTTCATGGCTTCCTAATGGTCTTAGAGCAAGAAGGAGTTTGTGTGCGTGTGTGCGTTCATGTGTACATAAATACATATATATATATATATACATACATATATATATACATACATATCTACGTACGTATGTATGTATGTACGTAGTTACGTAGGTATATATGCCTGTACGCATTGAACCAAGGCCCCCAGGACCCCGAAACCCGAAGTCCTGAAAGCCTCCGTAAACTTTAAACGGCCCTCGACGGGACCCCCTAAGGCCCTAAAGCCTAAACTCCGCTGAGCTATGTACACATGGGTGGTTGTCAAAATTATGGTCCCTTACTGGGTCCCTAATAGAATACGGCACCTAATATTTGATGTACCCCAAAAAGGGACCTTACTTTTGACAACTACCCACATCGCTGTGTATACACACAGACAATGCTTACGCACACATGTGAAAATTATGCATGTAGGAATGCATGTATGTGCAGTGATGCATAGAGAAGATTTAGCCTGTCACCCTAAACCTTTAACCCTAAACCCAACTTAGGGTTCGTTGAAAAACGTAGGGGTTTAGGGCTCCTCTAATGGAAGGGAAACCTAACAGTTGGCCGCCCAAGTAGACCCTAAACCCTAGCCAAACCCTAAACCCCAAACCCTACAGAACCGCTGGTTTTTATGGAACCTTTAAAACCCAATGGTTGTCGGCCCAGGGGAGGTTCGTGGGTAGTTACAAGTTGGGTTATGAGTCCCCTAATATGGGTCATAATTATGGTTGCCCTAATCATAACTCCACTTACAACTACCCATGAACCTCCAAGCAAGGATCCTAAACCCTAACCCACTAAACCCTAAACCCGAAACCCTAAACCCTAAACCCTGAACCCTAAACCCTAAACCCTAAACCCTGAACCCTAAACCCTAAACCACTAAACCCTAAACCCTAAACCTAAACCCGAAACCCTAAACCGTTCGGCCCAAGGATCAGGAAGCAGCAGGTGCAGGCAAGGACTGCGGTGGAGTTCCAGGCTGTCGGCTTCGGCACCGAAGGGCTGGCATCCTCTGCTCGTCTTACTTAAGGACTTAGTTTAGGGTTTAGGATTTAGGGTTTAGGGTTTCGGGTTTAGGGCATACTTGGGGGTTTCCGAAAACGAGGGGGGACCTTATTTGGGGTTCTTATAACAACCTAGCGGGTTCACTTTCGGGGGTGGTTTTTCCTGTTGTTTATGTGCCTTTGTATGCACTTCTCCTTCGCACGGCCTTTCCGCCACATGGAAAACACCGCCCAGCGCGAGGTTTTCGCCTTGTTACCTGTGTTCCGCTCTTGGTAGCCGAGTGTTTTGTCTGATTCGCGCTGTCTTTGTTTTTTTGCACCAAAAACGACGTCGTTTTTGGCAGTACATTTTCGGTTGCGAATTCGTCGGAACATCGAAAAACGTGGCCTGCGTGCTGTATTCCTGACTTTCTGCAGGCATGTTTTTGGGATGTCTGCCGCTTTGCGTTTTCTGCGTTTTATGCGTCGTTGTTGCTTTCGGTCATGCGCTCTGCTTGCTCTTTGGGGGGGGGGTTGGGGGGGTGGGGGGGGGGAGGAGTGACGTTCTGTTCAAGCGAACACAAATCAAGCTGCGAAGTTCCCTGTGCAAGCGTGCTACTGACAGGAAACAGAACAACGAAGAAACATGGGAACCCCGACTCACACGAGATACGCGAACACAAATGAAGCTCCAAAGTTCCCTGAACAACGGGACTCGACAGGACATGCACTGCCGGCATCACCATCATCATCATCATCACCATCATCATCATCATCATCATCATTACACACCACGTATTACATACAACTCAGTAATAGCAATCCCCAGAACAACCAGTTATCACTACACATGAAACAAGTTCACGATACATGCTATCCCAAACCCCTGCCCAGAAAAGTTTTTTCCCAGTGCGTAAAAACACCGAACCCCGAAAAAAACGATACAAAACCACCCCCGAAAGTGAACCCGCAGGGTATAACAAGGATCCTACTATTTAGGGTACTACATTAGGGTCCCCTTTTTTCCCATTTAAAGGATCCATGGGACTTAGTTCCCAGAGACTCCAATATCCCTTCATTAGGGAATATACCTTAAACTATAATAGGATCCCTAATATGATTTGCGGAATATTCCTTCATTAAGGGATATTGGAGTCTCTGGGGGACTTAGTTTAGGGCTCCTTTTAAGGGTGCGATAGGGCTCCTTAAAGGGATCTATCATAAGGGATCTATAGGGGGGCAGGCTTAGGGCTTTCTTAAAATCAGGGGACTTAGTAGCTTAAAGGGCTCCTTTAAAGGTTTTTTAAAAGGTATCGAAGAGCTTCTGAGTGTAAAGGATCATGGGACTCAGTAACTTCCTGAACTCCGAAACCCTTTAATTAAGGAATCTAGCTTGAGATAAAAGGGGTCCTGACTATGATTTACAGTATATTCCGTAATTAAAGGGTTGGGAGTCTCCGGGGGTTAAGGATTTGGGATGCAGGGTTTAAGGTTCAGGGGCTTTTGGGGTTGAGGGTCTTCGGTGTAGGTTTTGGGGTCAGTAAGGGTTGAGGGTTCTGGGGTGTAGGGTTAGTGACACTGGGATTAAATGAGGTCTACTTGGCTGTGAACTCAGGGGCTGTGCACAAGAGTTCTACAGATCAAACCCTCACCCTAAACCGCAAACCCCAAACCCTAGAAACTCTAAACCCTAAACCCTGAACCGTAATGATCCAAACACCAAACCCTAAACCCTAGAAGCCCTAAACCCTGAACCCTAACACCCTAAACCCGCAAAACCCTAAGCTGAGCGTTGAAGTCATAATGGTTCCCTTTCAGTAGCAGGTCCCATAAAAATATTAAAGTATGGTACTCCAAAGCCCAGTAGGGCAAGCGGGTGGTTGTCAGAATTAGGGTCCCTTTTTGGGTCCTAAACAACAGGTGCCGCACTATATATTAGGGCTATTAGGGACCCAAAAATGGGATCATAATTTTGACAACCACCCAAATATACGGACCCTAACCCCTAAACCCTAAACCAGTAAGTTACTTAAAGGCTCATGGGACTTATTAAACGACATTATAATTAGGATAACCCCACTTAGGGGACTTCTAAGCCCAATTATAACCTACTTACTAAGTCCTATGATCCTTTAAGTAAGCTCCTTAACAAGAGCCCAGGATCTCCCTCGAAGTTCGAGGCATCTCTCAGCTCGACCATGTCCGCCATCTTCAGCGAAAAAGGCGCCTTCTCCCCTGCTTTTTGAACGCCTAAACCCCCAAACCTCGAATCCTCAAAGTCTACAATCAAAGGGGGAAAGGAGGGACCCTTAATAAGGACCCCTACCCTATAATGGGCTATATAATGGGTCTCAAACCCTGAGACTCCAATATCCCTTAATGAAGGAATATTCCCCAAATCATATTAGGGATCCTATTATAGTTTAAGGTACACTCCTTAATTAAGGGATATTGGAGTCTCTGGGAAGTCTACAATCCTGGGTCTGCCTCAGGCGAACCGTAACCCCAAATGACCTGCCTTTCTAACGACGTTACAGAAGGAATTCATAACAAGGAAGCCTCGAAAACCCTAAACCCTAAAACCTAAACCTGGACCCTAAACCCTAAACCCTTTAAACCCTATACCCTAAACCCTAAACCCCGAAACTCAACAGCTACAAGGTTTTGCACTACTTGGAGGATCATTGGACTTAGTAAGTAAAGTTATAAGTACCTTAATTGGGTTATAAGTAATTATAAGTAATTATAAGTAAGTATAAGTAATTATAAATATAATGATCCTTTAAGTAGGGGGCCCTAGAGCTGAGGTCTCTGGCACCCAGCAGCCTCTCGCTGGAGCCTGGGGCCTGCGGAGACGGGCGTGAAAGGATCTGGGCTTTGAAGTATCCAGGGAGGAAAAAGTATAATATAGGGGCCTTAATAAGTAGAATAGGATTTTGGGCCCCATTATAAAATAGTTGTAATAAGGAACCCCCAAAATAGTATAGGTAATTATTAAGGCCCCTACAGTAGACCTTTATTTCATAATGGTTCCCTTTTAATTAGCAGGTCCCAAAAAAAGTATTAAAGTATGGTACTCCAAAGCCCAGGGATTGCCATCGGAGAAGTAGCAGCAGGACAGGCTACAGTTTCTGCTCGTGGCACTGACTACCTTGATTCCGACCCTAGTAAGTTCTTCTGTGATGGTCATGGCGGTCAGCGACAAACGATCGGCGTGGTGAGTACAAACGTTATTGATCATATGCCTCGTCAGCGTGCTCCCCACGAGCGCAGCAGTTTGCCTTTATCTGATGCAGGTAGAAGCATGAAATTCAAATCACGGGGATGTCTTTGTGCCCTTGCCAAGCTCCATCTCCTCCAAACCGTGAGGAGGACTGGGGTAAGTATTTGCGAGCTCCTGGTTTTTGGGCTCATGCAGCCCCGCAGTCGAGAATGGGAAGGGCATCCCTCGCGTTGCATGACACCGGACGTGCATTTACATGCGGGCTGTAGTCTATACTCTAAACTCTTCGATCACCTTAATAAGCCCCATAATAGGACTCCTTTATGCTCCCCTATAAAACAAACCCCTTTAGGGAATTTAGACTACAGCTCCTCGGGGTCCTGGCCAGAGGTCTTTGACCCCTTGCGTGGTGCTGCGTTGCCAGGACACCCTGTCTGTGCAGGAAAGGTCGGTCTAGGCTTTGTAGACCTTCCCGCCTAGGTTCGAACGAGCCCTGACTAAACGATTAAGATTCCCAAGAGTCAACCCTCTACCCTTACAAGGCTCCAGTTATAATCCCCATATAACTATAACACCCATGGTAACCCCAATTTTGTCACGGGCCGACATCGTTTACATAGAGTAGGTGCTCAGCGGGTCTGGCAGATCGGCAGTGCTGCGTCCTGGGTCGGCAAGGGCAGCATACTGTCATGCGGGTGGTTGTCAAAATTAGGACCCCTTTTTGGGTACCATGAAACAGTAGGTGCTGTATTATAATAGGTACCCAATTAAAAAGGGGACCCTAATTTTGGCAACCACCCATGTAGGGGCTGCATCAAAATAGACTGCCAGGGCTGAACTGCCCGGACCATATTTCCAGCTTGCAGATTTCCCGGCTGCGGTCCCTTAAGGGCAATTATTAAGGTGACTACTATTGCCTTCAGTGGGTCTAGACTTAGGAGACAAACCTACGCAAGCACTGTTGCCAGGTACAAGTAATGCAACAACCCGTGCAGACACTTGCAATCAAGGAAAGGTCCTTCAGCGTGGTCGCTGGTGCCTGGTCTCGCAGGGTCTGGTTTTGGACACAGACAGCCGATTCCCAACCAAAGCCCAAGCATTGATCAGTCTGTCAATCTGGGCTGCACTTCTTTGGAGCATACCTGAAATACGTTCAATTGTCATGACAGGGCTGTATAATCAATAGCACCATGTCAACTCAGCTTAAGTTTCTTAACAATGGCAGACAGCAATCCAGTCATACAATCGCTGCAATTTCGAGCAGGTCGTACATGCGATGGGGGCACTCAGGGAAAGACTTGCCGTCAAATACGGATAGGGGTCTTAACATTAGAATAGGGCTCTGGGGCCCACTAAACGATAATTACAATAAGAAACCCTCGAAATAGTATAGGCAGTTATTCAGGTCTCCTTGATGATAAAAAATTGCCGGAAAGCTTTGCAAGTACTCTCTGCCAGGCCCTGACCGCTGCTCGGGATGATAGAGGGGGGGCTGAATAGTTGCCAATACTATTAGAAGGCTTCCTTGTTATAACTATAGTACAATGGGACCCAAGACCCGATTCTAATTCATAATAATCCTAAACCCCTAAACCCTAATCATTGATAAGGCCCCTACATTGCAGGTGCAAAAGAAACCCGGGCGCTGGAGTCCGCCGTTCAAACGAGGTAAGTTCGTCTTGAATCTGAGCCTTGCTGCCCTTGGCAAGATCATCATAGGGTTTAGGGTTTAGGGATAATCAAGATTGTTACTGATTCTCGGGGTCGAGCGGGAGGAGGCATGATGCCGGGGTCCCTGCTATCCGCGTTTCCGCCCCAGTCGCGCCCATCAGCTATTCCAGCACCTGGCAGTACAATCAGCATTGCTTAGGGTTTATAGGCTTGCGCCACGCATCGTCACGCTTGGAGTCCGAAACTTTGGGCGGGAACTTCTCTTATCCCGAAAGCCTTGAAAGCCTTGAAAGCCTTGAAGGAGGCTGTTGGCTTTATCCAGCTCTCAAGCGCAAAACTTGACAAGCAGGCACTTCCATTGGTTTTGATAACTTCCCCAGGTCTCCCTCAAGGATACACTCCGATACTGCATTTAATATAGGGGCCTTAACAATTAGAATAGGGAGCATACTGAGGAACCCCCAAAATAGTATAGGTAGTTATTCAGGCCCCTATATTAAGCCTTCTTATTAAACCCTTCTTGTAGCCCCTATAGTAACCCTTATAGAGCCCTTTAAAGGAACACCCAAAATAGTCTAGGTAACCCTATATTACACCCTTATAGTACCCTTGTCAACTTGTGGTATCCCTCAAAGGAACCCTTTAAAGGAACCTACAATAGAATTGGCAATTATCAAGGCCCCTAAAGCACGAGGCAGCTCCACCTGTGGCTTCTGCAGGAGCCTGGAGCCGGCTAAAGATGGATTCGGCAAGCTTCCAATGTGGCGGGGTTTCCGAAAATTTGGCTAAGGGCTCTTTTACAGAGCTCTAGAAGGGTCTAGGGGGGTTCCGCAAATTGGAGGGTACCTTAGGGCTCCTTTAAAGGGTTGCGATAAGGGCGCTGAAAGGGTTCCTTTAGAGGGCTCTAGAAGGGTTTAGGGGGTTTCCGAAAATTGGAGGGCTGGGGTCCTGAAAGTAAGGATCCTGCTATTTAGGGTACTCTTCGCTGGAGTTCACTGAAATGTCACTCATGCTGTGAAATGGAATGGGCAGCTTGTTGTAAGCAAAAAGTGTGTGAACAGTGGTTGGGGTGCAAGGGAGCACAGCAGTTCTGCTGAGAAGCAAGCGAAGAATTGCATGGTCTGGTTCCAGATGCTGTGGTCACATGCTTGAGGATCTACTACCGGTACTATAGGGGCCTTAATAAATAGAATAGGGTTTTGGGGCCTATTACACTATAACTATACTATAACTATAACTCTAACAGCTGTAGGTAATTATTTTAATTATTCAGGCAACTACAGTACCAGTTCTAGCACCCCAGCCTGCGTGCTGCTGGCAGCCGCAATTTCCTGCCCATCCTCATCGACCGTGGACGCGACAACGCTGAACTTCTGCTGCTTCACCTTGCCACTCGTTTAGGGTTTAGGGGTTTAGGGTTTAGGGGTTTAGGGGCTTAGGGGTTTAGGGGTTTAGGGGTTAGGGGTTTAGGGTTTAGGGGTTTGGGGTTTAGGGTTTAGGGTTTAGGGGTTTAGGGTTTAGGGACCCGTGACTTTCAGGGATGCGGCCTCGTGCACTCCGGGCAATTTTTCTTGGCCACAAAGCTATCATCTCTGGGTTGGCCCTTTAAAGCCTCTGAATTTTTTTCGTAAATAGGGTCCTATTAAGCCCAATAAGGGGAAATATAAAAATGTCCCAAAGCCCTGCCTAGATCTGCTTTGCTTGGGTACTGCAGCGTTTGTTGAGACTGCTCCGCCAGCTGAACTCACAGACAACTCGCACCGATTTCTCGTATGAAAGAGTACAAGCACATCTGCCGACGAGCGACCAACTCGATGTAGTTCCGGACATGCTCCCTGTGGCGCCCTCGGACAACAGTTTCACATCTCTGCAAGAACGCTCGCTTTCCTCCTCTCAACGCATCGCGCACCTGAGGCAACACATGCTGGGCTACGGGCTTTGAAGTAACCAGGGAGAAAAAAGTATAGATTTTCATTTCATAATGGCTCGCTTTAAATAACAGGTCCCAAAACAGCATTAACATATGGTACTCCAAAGCCCAGGCTAAGACGGACCACCATCCTAGTGCTGGGAGCCGTTAAGCTGTGGGGGAGGAATCCTGGCGTATACTAAGGATCCTACTATTTCGGGTACTAGATTGGGGTCCCCTGTTTTCGGAAACTCCCATATCCATATCTGTCAAAGCTTGGCACCCGGCCGGCATCTTGGATGGATCTGAGCAAAATTGCCAGTGATCCGGGAAGAGGGGGCGTTGGGTCTAGGGGTGAGCATGCACGCGCAGCTATAATGCCTCACATGCAGATCTCCAAAAACCCTCGACGCTACACCCAACGGCCTTCCGGTTGACTTCGGGGCGACAGCAGAGGAAGCCCGTGAAATGCTAGTTCCTCAGGGCTTCGTCAGCTGCAGGGTTGAGGGTGTCAGTGTCGGGTTTAGGGCTCAGGGTTTAGGATGTCCTTCCTTAGGGGCCTAGGAACCAAAACTTAGGGCGTAGAGCTTATTTAGGATTCAGGGTGGAGGTTGAGCCCAAACCCATATGCCCATTGCAGTACTCTTTTAATTATGTTGATATCACGGGAGACGGGGACCGGATCGGCTTATCGCTATCGTCCACAGTCCACATGCACGCATCAGATTCCTGCACAAGTTGAATATATTCTGGAATCGCGATTGATGCTCCGGGAGTTCACTAAAGACAAGTTCTTCGAAACTTGTTCAGTAGCCAGGATTGGGCTGTTGTGGCCCAGGAAAGCTTTCCGGACAATAAAAATACGCAAAATCTAACCCTTTCCATTTCCATTCGTTTGATTTGAAAATCAACTGAACCTAGCCTTTCCCTGATCCATTTTCAATATGAGCCGGAGAAGCCCTTAGATCCAAAGTTCGTGTTACGTGCCCGGCTCCCTTTTTGTTGGAATTCAGGATGCAACATTACCCTGCAACACAACCCCACCCCCCCGAAACCCGTTGAGGCATCAGCTGCGAAGAGACAAAGAAGTCAAGTCCCCTAAACCCTAGCCCCCTACACCGTCAAGGTGCCTTCAGACAGCCCCAAGCGCTCGAGGTTGTAGGTGGCCTCAGAAGTCAAAGCAGGTGGCTCTTCTGAGCGTTGGTTGCTGCTCTGGGCTTTGAAGTAACCAGGGAGAAAAAACTAAAGACTTCTGTGTCATAGTCGTTCCCTTTAAGTACCAGGTCCCAAACAAAAGAATTAAAGTATGGCACTCCAAAGCCCAGGGCTTGTGAAGCTGTGCCGTTGCTTGCTCAATTTCAGACTCCAGTCTTGAGGATCCAGCAGAGAACTGTGTGACGGTGGGATCTTCGTCCGGGTCTTCCTTGTCCTCGAGGGCAAGTATCCGAATACAGAGTCTGGCGAAAGCTAATGTCCTCTATAACACACGTGATGCATCAACTCAAGCATCCTGCCCACAGAAGATGACCGCGACACGAAGTACGACGGGCACGATGGCTGACATGGTGGCTACGACCACCAGCACGTCACTGGCGAAGTCCTCAGCTCGTTGGAGCTTACTTAAAGGATCATGGGACTTAGTAAGTAGGTTATAATTGGGGTTATGAGTCCCCTAAGTGGGGTTATCCTAATTATAACCTACTTATAACCTTACCTACTAAGTCCCATGAGCCTTTAAGTAAGGTCTCAAGACAAATTGGGGGAAATGGCGGGCAACTCTGGGGCAGCAGGCACAGTGGCAATCAAGAAACTTGCAACGTTCATGGGCGCAACACCGCAGGGGCCTTAATAAGTAGAATAGGCTTTTGGGGCCCATTCTAGAATGATAATAAGGAACCCCCACAATAGTACTGGTAACTATTTAGGCCCCTATAATACCAGAGCAGGTTCCAGCGTGCTTGCTTGCCACCATGGAACGGACCAGCCAGAAATCACGAACACGAGAAACCTCGCGGCATGGTTTAGGTTTTAGGGTTTTGGGTTGTTTTAAAGTGCAATGGGCCTTTTCTGCAGAGGCTCAGCCGTCGTTACGGCATACACTGTTGAGGATTATCTGTAGATCGGGTTTAGGGTGCAGGGTGCAGGGTTTAGGGTGTAGTGCTATGCAAGAGCTGTTGATCGCGAATGAGCATTCAGCCGTCAGGCTTTGGTCTCGTGGTGTCTCTTTCCATCCACGACATGTGAGCCCTGGACTAACAACCCCTTGTCAGACAGTACTGTGCTTGCGCTTTACGAGTCTTACCCAGTGGTCCTACTCAATCTGCTGATACCGGGACAGCATCCAGACTGCAATCCTTGACATTTCCTCACCTAACTGCGGTCTCTCAATACAACATACGCCGCGCTCCTGCAGATAAAGCCAGATGGGGGTGTCCGAAAATTGTGGGTACCTTGCTTTGGGGTCCTTCTAATACGGATCCTGCTATTTCGGGTGCTATATTGGGGTCCCCTGTTTTCGGAAACTCGCAGATGGAATGTCTGCTCTCCAAGCCACACGTAAATCAGAGCGTGAACAGCAACTTCCTGCAGCGCGAAGGCGAACGGAAGTCTGTTAGGGTTTAGGGTTTAGAGCTTAGGGTTTAGGGTTTAGGCTGTTTTTTTAGGGCCTAGGGTTTAGGGTTTAGGGTATAGGGCTTAGGGTTTAGGGTTTAGCTCCTGGCACCAGGCCGCACACTTGAAACCACGATCTGACTCTTGGGGGGGGCTCCCTATTATGTTTATAGTATACTGGGGCCCCCAAAACCCTGTTCTAGTTATTGCGGCCCCCTAGATTATGGGACCCTTATAGATCCCTTAGAGCCCCCTAATATACAGACCCCCTTCAAAGGAACCTACCCCCTAGATTATATATAGTACCCTTATAGATCCCTTATGACCCTGAGCGGGTCACCTTCCTCTGAAGAGCTGCAAAGGTATGAAGCAGAAGCGACCCCTAGCAAGTCTGCTGTATGTGTGTTTCTCAAAATGGGAGTACACTGAGAACCCTAGGCACACTTCGGGACTGAACTACAAAATCTGGAGCGGCAGGATAACAGAAACCTAACATCATCTTTTGCAGTTGCATGCCAAGCGATAGCCGCGAGTCACACTGCAAACAGAGGCACTAAAGATCTTGAACCACCTCTTGCCTCAGAACACATACAATAGGGGTCAAATAGTTACCAATGCTACTTTGGGGGGCTCCATATTATAATTATAGTATAGCATAAAGGTCCCCCAAAACCCTATTTCTGATTACTAAGGCCCCTATATTGTAGTAGATCCCTTATAGACCCCTTATAGTAGCCCGTTAAAGGAAGCCCTTGCCAATCAGTAAAGCCACTCTCTTAGTGCAACCTACTTAAAGGCTCATGGGACTTAGTCAGTAAGGTTATAAGTAGGTTATAATTAGGATAACCCACTTAGGAGACTTATAACCCCAATTATAACCTACTTACTAAGTCCCATGATCCTTTAAGTAGTGCAACCTAGCAGTCCACGAGCCGGGGCACCCAGTCGTTCAGGAATGCCCAGACATAGGGCTGCAAACTCGCGCCGAGGATTACATACCTGTTTGGGTTTTTTAAAAGTGCAATGGCTGTTTGAGTTTAGGGTTTAGGGTTTAGGGTTTAGGGTTGGGGTGGACAAGGCATCGGCAGTGGGCTCTACGAGTTTGTTGAGCCTTGGTGTCAATCAGTCTGTTGACTGACATGTCCTGGGATTAGGTGTGGTGCAAAGACGAAATCGCACAAAGGAATAGGCTTTTGTGGGCCCACTCTCAAAGAATACCAACACGGCGAGTTTAGCTACTACTCTCTGCACAAGATCACCTACTTGGAGGGGCAAGGGACTTAGTAATTAGTTTATAAGTAGAGTTAATTATAAGGACCCTAAATGGAGTTACCCCAGTTATAACCCTACTTATAACCTTACTTACTAAGTCCCCTGCCCCTCCAAGTAGCATGATTTCCCAGTCGCTTCTGGGGAGCCGGCGTCAGTGTGACGAGGAGGTACACCAATGGCACCTCTGATTGATCTCGTCGCATCAGCATGGCGTAGATTGTGATCACGAATCCTTGGACTCTCTGGCGCAAAACCCAAGGGAAGAAAAGTTGAAGCTTTCAGAATCGACTACCTTATAAGAACCCCAAAAGTAGAAAAGTTGAGTTTACAGCCACTAAGTCGATTCACAAGCTACAAGCCCTTCGATGCTAAGGTCCCTCCTTGGGCTGAAACCATCTTCGGCCTCAGGGTCTTAATATGGGGGGCCTTAATAATTAGAATAGGGTTTTGGGGTGTATTGTACTGTGATTATAAAGAGGAACCCCCAAAATAGTTTAGGTAATTATTAAGGCCCTATAGTAAGCGTCAACTTTAACCAGCTGTCAGGAAATCGACCGCATCAATAAACTTGCCTGCCCGCAGATCTGGAGGGCTTTCAGGGATGATCCCAGAACTCACATGGGAGTTTCCGAAAATTAGGTGGGTCCTTTTCATAAGGATCCTACTCTTTAGGGCACTATATTAGGGTCCTCCATTTTCGGAAACTCCCCACATACTTGCAGACAGCGGCTGGCAATGAGAAGGATGAAAGTCCAACTGTACGACAACACTCGCCTTAACTTCAGCAGGCGTGGCAGATGTAAATGTAAAGTTCTCGAATCTTTCCGTCCTGCATGTTCATCACAGGAGCCCGCTTAGGTAGTTTGGCCTTCACGCATTGTCAAAAACACAAGCTGGAATGTGTCCGGATGATACTAGCTGGAATGCTACGGTAGGAGCGCCTGAGGTCCGGTCCATCGCTGTGGCATTCTCTCTTCTGAAGAGTGCGACTCCGGAACCACACCGTAAACCCTAACTTTCTGGTGGGTAGCAGGGAATGTGGGAATATAGTATACACAGACTATAGTCATATAGTCCTTAGATAGTGATAGTCGGGAATATGGGAATATATCATACACAGATTATAGTCATACAGACCTAAGATAGTGATAGTAGGGAATCTGGGAATATATCATACACCGATTATAGTCGTTGTTCCCTGCAAGCCACCAGCAAGCTAAACTCTGAGCGCCAAGCCCGTCACTAGATTTAGCTGCAGTCTCGTTGCTTAATGGCGCGGGCACCAGGCACCGACCACCTATGAAGGGTACTTCCAGGAGGGCCAAAAGGGTGTCACCCTGGTGATATCATATCTGCGCACATGCTGGAGGCCAGCGCTGATGTAAACCTCTTACCCCTTTGCTCTAATCTCTGCCTGCTTACAAGCAAGGGCCGACGTACACGCCCTCAACGATACCTGCACAAGTACTGCATGTCTGTAACGAACTTGGCAAATTCGAGCTCCCACCGCAACATGGCCATTGCAATCTACGACAGGACATGCAGAAGCGCCAACAACTTCGCACCTCGCATAGTCGAGCAGGTTGTCGAGTGTGAGCCTTGCAATCGAGACACTAAAAAACATAGTTAATAGCAATAAGAACTGTATTAACAAGAACAACAATCACAATAACGTACTGCGAATGGGATCAGCTTCAGGGAAGGCTTTCGGAACCAAAGGTTAGTCCCGGCATCGGGGACCCTTCTGACAGCATGGCGGAATTAAACCCTAAACCCTAAACCCTGAACCGCTTCCTGCGGGCTCCTCCTTCCAAGTTAATATAGGGGGGGGGTCTTGGCAATGAGAACAGGGTATTGGGGGTACATTACACTATAATCATAATCAGGAACCCCCAAAATAGTAAAGGTAACTATTAAGGCCCCTATATTATTATAGTACCTTATAGGTCCCTTATAGTCACCCTTCTAGACCCCTTTAAAGGAGCCCCAAAAATAGTATAGTATAGGTAACTCTAAACCCTAAATAACACCAAACCCTAAACCCCAAACCCTAAACCCTAAACCGCAAACCCTAAACCCTAAACCCCAAACCCTAAACCCTAAACCTTAAACCCTAAACCCTAAATAGAATACTCCTTCCACGGATATACCGAGGCGTTTGGATCTCGAACCTGCTCTGAACCCTGCAGCCGCAACATGAAATCTTCTCGGACCCCTCCGGTTTAGGGTTTAGGGTTTAGGGGTTTAGGGTTTGGGGGTTTCGGGTTTAGGGTTTAGGGGTCTGGGGTTTGGGGTTTCGGGTTTAGGGGTTTCGGGTTTAGGGTTTAGGGGTTTTTTCGGCGGTCAATGTAAGGGTTTAGGGGTTTAGGGTTGAGGGTCTCGTGCAGCTCATCTGTCAGGGTCTTTTTAGGTGCACGGGCCTTTTCTGTGCGCAGCCTAGGCCTGTAGTAGGATCTGTCGGGATTTAGGGTTTAGGGTCTATCATTGCGAATCATGGCGGCCAAGAAGTACTGAAATGGATGCCGCCAAGCAACTTTACATGGTGAACATCTGACACCTGCAGGGCAGATGTACAGACAGACGCTGGATCCGAATGCACGGAGGTGGTCCGGGTGCTGCGCACGCGACCCACAGCGCCTTCAAGGCACTGAAAATCCCGCAGGCAGGGCCCAGAATACTGTCGAAGTTACCATGAAATTTCCTGGAAATCCCTATTATGGTAACTTAAACTACATTCCTTAACCCCTGAACCCTTATAGAACCCTTGAAGGTTAGCATGACCAGATGATGTCACGTGGCTCAAGGGCCTTGATGAGCAGTGGCAATGTAGGGGCCTTAATAAATAGAATAGGGTTTGGGGGTGTATTTTAGAAGCTGCCCCCACCCTGTAATAGTGACTATAAGGATTATATTAAGGCCCTATTATATTCCTATTATATCACTATTACAGGGTGGGGGCCCCTTCTGAGGTATATTGCAAAACAATTGCTCAATTCTTTTCTCCAGCAGTTCACTGAACCATGACTGTCCAACGTCCAGGCTTGCAAAGACTGACTGGTCCAGTGACCGGTTGGACAAAGAAAGAGGGCAACGTACTATAGGGACTACAGGGGCCTACATAATTACCTGTACTATTATGGGGGTCCCTTATTATAAGTATAGCATAATGTACCCCAAAACCCTATTCTAATTAGTAAGGCCTCTATATTATAGTACCCTTATAGACCCCTTATAGCAGCCCTTATAGCCCCCTTTAAAGGAACCCTATTCTAATCATAAACCCTAAACCCCAAACTAAACCCTGAACCCTAAACCCTCAACCCTTAACCCTTAATCCTAAACCCTAATCTAAACCCTTAACCCTATACCCTAAACTAAACCCTAAACCCTAAACCCTTAACCCTAATCCCTAAACTCTAAACTCTCAGAGTTGCTGTACCCAGCCTTCAACTTCTCCGGTTCCTCGGGTTCAGCAATTGGCTCATCAGGGAGTACTCGCTGAACCTGTGCAGTCTCCTGAGGCTTAGGGTTTCGGGTTTAGGGCTTTAGGGGTTTAGGGTTTAGGGGTTAAGGCTTTAGGGGTTTAGGGTTTAGGGGTTTAGGGTTTAGGGGTTTAGGGTTTTAGGATTTGGGGGTTTAGGGTTTAGGGTTTAGGGGTTTAGGGTTTAGGGTTTACGGTTTAGGTCGGGTCTAGGACCAGTCTAGCGTTTATAGGATATGGGGATTTAGGTTTACAAGTTTAGAGCTTAGGGTATAGGGGTTTGGGTTGAGGGTCTAGGATCTTATTTGAAGGCTTTTGGGGGGGTAACCGGGGTAAAGGGTCTTAGGGTGTTTCGTCGAGCTTGGGGTCAGGGCTCCTAGGTGGGCTCTGTGTGTGGCATTTGTCCGCAAAGCAAGACGCAATTGATCAAAGGTTTGGTCGCCCTGTTCCCGGTGTCAGTCACTGAGAGCTCAGGTGGCAATTTTCCTACCATGGAGGAGCCTCTGGGGCCTATTATACTATACTTATAAGGGGCTGCTATAAGGGATCTATAAGGGTACTATAATATACAGGCCTTACTAATTAGAATAGGGTTTTGAGGTGCATTATACTTTTCATAAGGAACCCCCCAAAATAGTATTGTTCATTATTCAGGCCCCTATATTAGAATTATGTTTTGCGCTTGGCTCTGATTCTAAACCATGGAGTTCTGCATTCGGGAGTTTCCGAAAATTAGGGGTACCCTATTTTGGGGATCCTTACAATAAGGATCCTACTGTTTAGGATACTAGATTAAGGTCCCCTATTTTCGGAAACTCTCATTTTGAGTCCGCATCGAAATTCAAAGGAAGGCTTCTGTCTCCGGAGTTGCCTTGCCTGCCCGCTTCAGCACGTTCGCCCTACTCGATCGCACCCCTCCCCCTCAGTTTATGGCCTAAGGTTTGCAGCAGTTCTGACTGCAGCTACTTTGAACCGGCCCGGCAAGTTTACAGAGAAACCTTCGTCGTGTTCCCAGCTTCCCCATAATTCCGTTGCTTTTCCATGCAAACTCGCTGCTTCGAAGCTTTCCGCTAAAAGTCTACAACACCGATTGCCTCAGAGAAAAGATGAACGTGGTGCATGGGGAATGCCTTCGCTCCACTTCACATAAGCTAAGAGCAAATTGCAGAACAAGAGTGTAGTCTATGCTTCAACACACAACGGACTAAATACTGGAATGTCCTGGCGATATCTTGGGTGCTTTAAACCATAAAGGTGTCTTGATCTTTGACCCTTGGTGACAAGAGAAGCGAAACGTGAAGCTCCTGCTTTCGGTATCCTACTATAGGAGCCTTAATAATTAGAATAGGGTTTTGGGTATATTATACTAAAAGAAGGAACCCCCAAAAATCGTATTGGTAATTATTAAGACCTCCACTTGGAGGATCATGGGACTTAGTAAGCAAGATTATAAGCACCTTAGTTGGGCTATAAGTAATAAGTGTAGTTGCCTTATTTATAACCCCAGTTACTAAGTCCCATGGTCCTTTAAGTAGGTGTAGGTAGAGTTGGCGGTATGCGGATGACCTTTTGCTGATTGCTATCAAGTCTTGACAGCTCATCATGCAGAACGATCACACAACATCTACGACCTCATGACCTTGCTGACATGTCTTACGCTCAAACTTGAGCCCTCAAAGTTGGCTCGGCGTTGACGAAATTTGGATTTTCTTGTGTCCTGCACCCTGGCAGGAAAGCAGCAACTCAAGATCCACCAGAGAAGAAATCAGCTTCAAAGAGAGGAAACTGGCGTTGAGCTGAGCTATTCCAGCTTCAGCTGTTCCAGGGCCAGGGATGCTTTGAGCGGGATTTAGAGATGTCTTAGGGTTTAGGGTTTAGGGTTTAGGGCATTGCAGGAAGAGCAAGAAAGCAAGACACAAAAGCTTCGGGGCAACAGCTCTTCATGGCTTGCTTAGTCCCAAGGTGAATCTAGAACCTCTACTTAAAGGCTCATGGGACTTAGTAAGTAAGGTTATACGTAGGCTATAATTAGGATAACCCCACTTAGGGGACTTATAACCCCAATTCTAACCTACTTACTAAGTCCCATGATCCTTTAAGTATAGCCCAAACCCTAAACCCCATAGATCCCTTTAAGGATCCCTATAGATCCCTTTAAGGAGCCCTTTAAGAACCCATAGATCCTTTAAGTATAGCCCAAAGGCCTCCATGGGGATCAGCCGGTCCGTCGCCACTGTTGCCACGGCAGATTCTGTCTCAGGCGGCACAGGGCGGTCAGCGCTCACCTGATTATGATATATTATATAATATATGTATTCTTATATATTATATAAATATAGTATGTATATATCGTCTGGCTTGGGAGTTCTCGCAAGAGGGACTTTACGACCATGGGCTGCGTGTGGAAGGGTTGATGATATAAATCCTGCATTACCCATAATAAGGAATATACCATAACTCCCATAGTTTAGGGTCCTTGCGGTAATGCAGGATCTATATCATCAACAGAACCACCATGAAGGAGTCCTTTGATCTGATGCAGGCTTCCAGCAGCAGCAGCAGCAGCAGCAGCAGCGGCAGCAGCAGCAGCATGGAGGCAAAAGCGCTGATATCCGCCCAATGCTGCACTGCGTACACAGAAGTTCCGGACCCAGGCTGTGATGGGGAATTTTAGCGCACATCTGACATTGAAAGCTTCTTTGCCCCATATTGAAGCTATCGACAACTTAGAAGTTTACTGGCTTGAGCTTTGCTTCACTGCAAAGTCATGCCATCAACAGATGTTCTTACGTGGCCAAGCTTTGTAGAAGAAGTTAGCGTGGCAGATTTCCCACACAAATAACCAAACTCTCCCAAGCCGAAGCCACGAAACAAGCCCAGACGGTGCCTCGGAGGTCACACCGCTGCGAGAAGACGGTTCCTTCAAGATATGGACCACCAAGGAAAGAGAACTTCTTAGCAGCAGAAATATGGCCGGGCGTGGGCTTCACAGAACTCAGAACTCACAGTAATCTCATTCATTACTGAGAACAATAGCCATAGCTGTCATAAGAACGGTGAAGAATTCATGCTGGTCGGAAACAAAAAAGCTGAAGGCAATGACCGTGGTCTGCAAGCGCCACGGGCTTGTTTGTGAGACCCCTTTCCCTCCGAGGTGCTGTGCGGACCCTGAGCGCTGTACTGCGAGTCCATCTGTCCCGGATGGCACCCCTGAACAGGGCGCAGCCGTCAAGGATTTGAGGTGCGGGGCAGGGCACGGGGTTAGGGCGGTTCGGCCTTTGTTCCTTAGTTGTCCTTGAAGCCCTTTGAAAATCATTTGCTATTATGGTTCTCTACGAAAATAGTAGGGGAAATTAAACAAGATCCCAAAGGACAACCCAGGTTCAGAATCCGTTTAGCGCCTAGGGGCTTGGGTCAGACCACACCCGAGGCCAAACGGGACATGCTGACTCACGCAATATCAACATCACTGGGAGTCTCCGAAACTCGGGAATCCTAGTACAGTACCCTAAATAGTAGGATCCTTACTATAAGGACCTCAAAATAAGGTACCCCTTATTTTCGGAAACTCCCTAAACCCTTAGAGCACCCTTATAGTATTTCTTAGAAAGATACCCGAAGGTACCCCTAGTTTCGGAAAGTCCATCGTGGCACCCTCCAACAGCCCGGCTCGTGGAACCCTCGCCACCCACCTGATTGAGCGGATGATTTCCCACGCGGGACCTGCAAGACGGTTTAGGGTTTAGCGTGTTTGCCGAGTGCTACCGTTGATGATGTAATCCCTGCACCACCCATTTTGATTGAGGAATATACCATCATTCCCACAGTTGAGGGTCCTTCAAGAGATGTAGGATCTATACCATCACCCTAGACCACAAACCCTGCAACCATGTAGATCCCTTAAAGGAACCCCTCAAAGGTACCCTTAAAAGTAATGCAGGATACATATGTATATATACATATATATATATATATCATCAACAGTACCACAGCCCACTCGCAGATGTTCAAGGCTTAAGGCCTGAAGTTCCTTTGAACAATCTTGGTATTGTAGGAACTTGATTAAGAAACCTTGGGCCTTTATTAGGGTTCTTTATATGAACCCTACTATTTTCGGTGTTGTAGTGTCAGCGTTTAGCTTCCCGTTTCGCATGCAAGCCCATCCTACAACTCTGAGTGTGTAATATAGCAGCCTTGCTAGTTAGAGTAAGGTTCCTTGCGGCCCATTCTACTGTTTTGGTTTATAGTAACGAACCCCCGAAACGGTATAGGTAACTATTTAAACCTATATTATATCTGCTGGATTTGTAGCAGAAAACTAACCAAAGGCAGGCAAAGGCTAGATGCAGATTTCCCATCGTCACCCAGCCCTAACTGACGGCTACATGCCTTCATCTTCATCAATCATCTTGAAGCGCTCGCTGTGCGTGTACCTCATCGTGGCTTAACGTAGCTTCAAACAGAAGGCGGGCATGTAACGGTTTAGGACAGGGTTTGGGGCTTAGGGCTTAAGGCCTAGCAGCATTCAAGAGCCAGGGATTACGGGCGGCCTCCCTTTGCCTCTCTGGGTTCGCTTTTTGGCTCCTGCAGATTTAACCTTGCATTAGCCGGCTTGGACCATTACTAGAAAGCCTCTGACCCGTGCATCATCCCAATTGCATTGGGAGCTCCGGTTTCTGTAAGCTGCAGGCTTTGAGCTTCTTGAGAGCCCTAAACCCTAAAAACCCCTCAAACCCTAAATCCACTCCTAAAGCCCTAAATCCTAACCCCCTAAACCTGAACCCGAAACCCTGTTGTCAGAAGGTCTCGGGTTTCAACTGCACCGCTGCAAGCTGGTGGCGGACCCTTCTGCTTGGAGGATCATGGGACTAGTAAGTGAGGTTTTAAGTACCTTAATTGGGGTGATAAGTATTTATAAGTATGGTTACCTTATTTACAACCCCAGCTACTAAGTCCCATGATCCTTTGAGTGCTGAAGCTTTAAAGACTTACAAGCCCTTGCCTCCTCCAAGAAGAGGAAAGGCGCCAAATTCAGTATTTCTCGAGACTATGGACTCCGGACCCTTGCAACTGGGACGATTGAGTCATTCACCATAAGCACTGCAATCCACTCGCACATCGTTGTTTTAAACATGCTTTCCAACATGAAGAAGTCAGAGGCTGAAGCCAACACTGCAGACACGACGATCAAGCGAGGGAGCATGATTTGGTGAATACGAGTGCACCTATGCCTGCCAATCCTAAACACATCGACATTGCCTGTAAAGTCAAAGGAAACGGTCATGTTAGGAAGCAACCGTCTTGCTCAGCAATTCTTCGGCTGCCGGGCTGCATGTGCGAGATGACCCGCAGCAACAATGCATCGGCCTGGCAAGATGGGGAGCAGACATTTTTGAGGGTTTAGGGTTTAGGGTTTAGGGTTTAGGGTTTAGGATTTAGGGTTTAGGATTTAGGGTTTAGGGTTTAGGGTTTAGGGTTTAGGGTTTAGGGTTTAGGGTTTAGGGTTTTGGGTTCATTTGCATGGCTTTCTTCTTGAGCTCTAGGAAACGTGTGCCCGCAGCCCTCCCTACCTTGCCGGGGAGCCCCTCCAGGCCCAAACTCCATGTGGAGAGCCGCTCATTAAGCTCAAGGCTTGGGCGAGGCAAACTTAACGGGAGGAAGCCGCCGACGCAAAGTATACTTCATGCAGGGTCTGGGCTACAGAAGAGGTGGATGTAAGCCCCTGAGACCATGCGTACTGCCTTGCATGAAGACCCAAGATGACTTCCATAACCACCTAGAGCCCACGCCTCCATGGTACCTGTAGTGAGCCTCATGTAAACTCTGAGCCGTTGGGGATGTTATCGGCCAAAATTCCCGCTATGATTCTATTCGAATGATTCTACTCCACCCTAAGGCCCCATAGTAGCTCCTTTTCGTGGCTCATATTCAGAATCCTATAAGGTAATCCCAAGAAGGAACTACTATGGGTCCTACTTAATGGATCATGGGACTTAGTAAGTAGGTTCTAATTGGGGTTATAAGTCCCCTAAACCGGGCTATCCTAATTGCAACCTACATATAACCTTACTTACTAAGTCCCATGAGCCTTTCAGTAGACCCTAAACCCTGAACCCCATAGATCCCTTTTAGGGAACCCTATAGATCCCTTTAAGGAGCCCTTTAAGAACCCTTACTAAGTCCCATGAGCCTTTACATATGGGCAGAAGCCGAAATCTGATCCACATTTTCTGCGATTCGCTGGCCTTCTCAGCCTCCTGGGCGAGGATGAGGTCGATGGCCCTGTGCCACACCTCCTGGGCCAGACACGCGTGACCGAGCGTTGTGGGGTTTAGGGTTTAGGGTCTTGGGTTTAGGGTTTTGGGTTATAGGGTTTAGGGATTTGGGTCTTGGGTTTAGGGTTTTGGGTTTAAGGTTTAGGGATTTGGGTTTTGGGTTTAGGGTTTTGGGTTTAAGGTTTAGGGTTCGGGTTTTGGGCTTAAGGTTTAGGGTTTCGGGTGGGCCCTACATGTCAAACCAAAGCTCCACCTCTGCTCAGGACGCTTCGCCACTTTGCCGCGGGCTTATGTTCTGCAGTTCGAGGCGCAGTCCCGGGGACTATTCTGAACTTGGAACCCTAGCAAAAATTATCATTTTAGCTGTTTCTTAGGGATTACAATAACAAAAAACTAAAATTTGTTCTAAGTACCCCTTAGGGGAGGGAGTCCTTAACTTCGGGGGTTGGGTTTCCTGTGTTGGTGCGTCCTTTGCCGTACTTGGGTCGGCACTACGTCACAAAACCCTAAACCCGGGCCAGGTCTAGGGCTAATTGCTACTTGGAGAATCATGGGACCTAGTATCTAAACTTATAAGTACCTCAATTGGGGTCATAAGTAATTGTAAGTATAGTTATCTTATTTGTAACCCCAGTTATTAAGTCTCATGATCCTTTAAGTAGACCCTAAACCCTAAACCCCATAGATCCCTTTAAGGAGCCCTATAGATCCCTTTAAAGAGCCCTTTAAGTAACACAGAAGTCCTTTGCGAGAGTCCTTGGATGAAGCCGCAGCAATGTCGTCAGTCATGAAGAGCTTCTGAAACTCTGGCACAGCCTTCGATCCAAGGGATCCTACAGAACAGCCCACTCAAACCCTAAACCCTAAGCCCTAAACCCTATACCCTAAACCCTAGGCCCTAACCCTGAACCCTAAACCCTACACCCTAATCCCTCAACCCTAAACCCTAATCCCTAAACCCTAAACCACTTCAGTAATCCGCCTCGCGGACTTCTTGGATGTAGCCCCGGTGTCGCTTCACCCAGAACTCCTGAGCCAGGCGTGCAGCGCAGCTGTAGGCACTCCAAACTGCTCTCTACTTGGGGGGGCAGGGGACTTAGCAAGTAGGTTGTAAGTAGAGTTGTAAGTACCCTAAATGCAGTTATCCCAATTATAACCTTACTTATAAGCCACTTGCTAAGTCCCCTGCCCCTCCAAGTAGGGATGCACATTGGGTCTATGAGTCCAGTCTACGCGGCATGCTGCCAAGGCTCTGAAAAGAAAACATACCAAGGAGCAGTGAAATCCTCCGCCAAGCCATGCAATTTCCTCAGCGTCTTGCCATCCATCGCTTTCTGCAAAAGCTAGCAGACTATAGACCTGGTCTAGGCAATATCGCCAAATTAAGGAATACTTAAATTATAGTAGGACCCCTAATATGATCTAAGGAATATTCCTTAATTCAGGGATACTGCAACTGTCTGGGTTTTGGGTTTAGTGACGAGCCAAGTAATGTAGGGGCCGAAATAATCATCTATAGGGTGTTTTAACGGTTTGCTTTTACAGGGGTCTATAAGGATTGCTATAAGGGCTACTATGAGGGTTTAGCGAGAAAAAGTTTCTCTTCACCGCGAGATTCCCGTGCTGCCACTTCCAGGAGGCGTAGATGCAGATTGCGATCACCGGCCTCGGCTGACTTCCGAAACCCTCCTAGAAGTTAAATCTTCCTCCTTTGGCACAATAGCTCGTACCGAAAAACGCCCAGCCAGGATCCGAAAGACAACGTCATCAAGCTGAACATCAGAACAGGAAACAGAAGAAAAGTAGAAATTATTGTTCATATAGAAACCAAAGAAGTTAGTCCCAAGAGCAAGAAGAACGCCAAGCGGCAATGAGAGTAGGACAATGAAGGTCAGATCCAAGATGGACAGGACCATCATCGTCTGGGTTTAGGTTTTAGGTTTTAGGGTTTAGGGCTTTAGGGTTTAGGGTTTAGGGTTTAGGGTTTAGGGCCAGGGTTTAGGGGTTAGGGTTTAGGGTTTTAGGTTTTAGCGTTTAGGGAGGGTTTAGGGTGCTGGCAAAAAGCAGCGAGCATCCTCTGAAGGATAGTTCCCGCGATACACACGACGATTGCACCAATCAGCCGCGGCGCTATAAATTCCATGCCACGCACCCTAAAACTGCATCTCTCCCCAAAACCTCTAAATATAGGGGCCCTAACCATTAGAATAGGGCTTTGGGGCCCATTATGTCGTAATTCTAATGAGGAACCGCCCAAATAGTAGTGGTAATTATTTCAGCCCTTTCTGTATAGTACCCTAAGCCCTATAGATCCTTTTAAGGAACCCTTTAAGGATCCCTTTTAAGGAACCCTTGAAGGATCTATATTATCGACATCGCTCCCCAGCTCTGAGGACGAGGCCAGCCACTCCTGAGCTCAGCACAGCAAAGGTCAAACCCCATCAGAGCGATCGGGGTGAGCTATTGTAAGGGGTCCTAATCTATCCATATACATGTACATATACATATATACATATATATGTATATATACATATATAGATTGAATATTCTTAAACTGCTACTGAGGAAGGGCACCACCCAAGGCATATGGGCTATGCCTCTCTCTGCTCTCATGGCATGTCCGACATACATCACACTCTTTCGCAGTTGGAGCGTGAAGTTCTGCAGAAAATCCTTGAGGCAAATTTGTCTTGGGACAACAGGAAGACGAGACCTGATCTAGCTTTGTACTACACAGACCTAATCAATTACCAACACGATTTTGGTGGTTATTCATTGTCATTATAGTGTTATCGGCCCCAAAGCGCTCTGCTAATTGTTCAGGCCCCTAATTAAATTCCTGTCCAGCCTCAGGTATTTGGAAGCATCCTTCCCTCCGCCAATGCCTACAGTCTCACCTCGTCGTCCCTCCCATCCTGTCACCTCCCCTCGACTGACAAGGTCATCTAGGTTCCTGAGTGCTACTCAGGAACCTAGTCATTCAAGATCGTGTCATGTAAATGGCAAAACAGATCTGGAAGAAATGATTGCAGATGAGAGAACAAACTAACCTCCTCATGTGACAATCCACGATATTCGTTGACCAGACCTTAACCCTAAACCCTAAACCCTAAACCCTAAACCCTAAACCCCTAAACCCCTAAACCCTAAAGACCCTAAACTACAAGAAAGGCACAAAAGACGGACGAAGATGCGCGCTCTGCAGGCGAGAGTCCCAGTTTCTGACGGAACACTCAATGACGGGCTGGAAGGCCAGACCTGAGGTCAACGGAACATCATACTTAAAGGATCATGGGACTTAGTAAGTAAGGCTATAAGTAAGTTATAATTAGGATAACACCACTTAGGGGACTTATAAGCCCAGTTATAACCTACTACTAAGAAGTCCCATGATCCTTCAAGTAGGAACTTTTAGGAGGGGGGAGGGGGGTAGGGGACTAAACTTCCTGATATAGGCCTTATGAGGTCAACGGAACATCACAGGAACTTTTGGGAGGGGCTTACCTTTGGTTTGTAGGGAACGGAAGAATGGTAGTAATAGTACCTGCGGTCAACGGAACATCACAGGGACTTGTGGGAGGGGGTATTCCATAATTAAGACCTGAGGTCGACGGAACATCAGAGGGATGTTTTTTTTGAGAGGGGGGAGGATGGTATTTAAGGTATATTCCTTAATCAAGGGGTAAGGTCAACGAAACATCATAGAGACTCTTTTTCTTTTTTTTGGATTGGTGGGTGGGTAGGGGGAGGGGGGTAGGGGACTCTACTTCCGTAAAGAGGCCTTATGAGGTCCTTCTTAGCTTGAATCTTGATATGAACCATCTTCTAGTTTAAGGTATACTCCTTAATTAAGGGGTATTGGGCTCTCTAGGGAAACACTCGCCAGCTGCAAGGCTCGAAATCTGGCTTTTGATGATTGCGATCCAAAGCCATGTTCGCATTGCCACGCCTCCTATGCCGTGAACGATGGCAGAACTCAAGTGAACAAGTAGAACCTTTAACTTGGCCGAGTAGAGGCTCCGCTTGGAGCAGGGGTCTGGGGTACATTAGAAGCTGCCCCCACCCTGTAATAGTGGTATAATAGGAACAAAATAGGGGTCCAATATAATCCTTATAGTCACTATTACAGGGTCGGGGCAGCTTCTAAGGGGTACATGACAATATGATTTAAGGACTATGGGTTGATGACAGTTCTGACTACTCAGGCTCCTACGTTGACCGACTGAACCCTGGACTTTGAAGTAACCAGGGAGCAAAAAGTATAAACTGTTATCTCATGATGGTTCCCTTTAAGTAACAGGTCCCAAAAAAAGTATTAAAGTATGGTACTCCAAAGCCCAGAACCCATCTCGACCAAGGCGCAGAGCTTGTCATGCTCGCAAGGGATGCAGCTGAGGAAGACCAGATCATCACGAAGATGAACGAGTAGAAACAGCCTTTCACGCACATTCAACAACCCTAAACCCCTAAACCCTAAAACCCTGAACCCTAACCCTAATAGAAGGCGGCTTACTTGCTCGGAGACGGAAGGCTGAAGGATGGAGAACAGCTATGGCTCACCCACGAGGCTTCCAAAGCTACACGTGCGCAAGCCTGATTACGCCATTGCGTTCTCAGAGACTCCGATATCCCTTAGTTAAGCAACATTCTCTAAATCATATTAGGGATCCTATTTGGGATCCCATGATTAATTTAAGGTATATTTCTTGACTGGGCGATATTGGAAACTCTGGGTTCCCTTGTCAAGGCAATCAGCCAAAGCCTCCGGCCGAGAACTTAGATCCTTCCCAACTCCTGAAAGCCCTGAACCCTAAACCGAGCCGCATCATCGTGACAGAGATTACGCCCATAAAGCCGCGCTTTGGGCTGATGTATCCGACGTCTTTCGTCCGGTTCCTGAGTCGGTTTGGGGTTTGGGGATATTTTTTTAATTTAAAGGAAAAAATAGTTTAGGTTTAGGGTGCCAGGGTCTTGGTCCCACCTTGAGGATCGAGGGTCAGGCTTGAGGATCTGAGGTCACAGCTTGAAAGGTCTGCCGTCATATGGGAGTTTCCGAAAAGAGGAGACCCTAGTATAGTACCTTAAATAGTAGGATCCTTATTATAAGGACCCCATATAAGGTACCCCTAGTTTTCGGAAACCCCCATATAGAACCCTAGTAATTACCTGTACTATTTTGGGGGCTTCTTAGCATAATGGGCCCCTAAACCCTATTCTCATTATTAAGGCCCCTATATTAGATGTACGCCAAGGTGCTTATGGTGGAGGCAATAGGCCAGCATGCCCAAGCTCAGCACCACCTGAAGTGTGCGGAGGTGGCTGACTTGTCTGGGGGATGTCCCTACCCTGACTTGGCAGGCCAACATTAAAGGGAAGTTTTTGGGACAGGCCGTGAAATCAATTTTCCTCTGGCGAACGAAGACCTGAAAACTTCAATGAAGAAACAAGAAGCGTGCGGTGGGTGTCCCACCACAGTTCTAGCAGCTGCTGTAGGGGCCATAATACTTAGAATAGGGTTTGGGGGGTGTCTTATACTATGATTATAATAAGGAAACCCCCAAAAACCTATTCTAATTATGAGAGCCCCCGAAGTATAGTACGCTTGTAGATCCTTACAGTACCCCCTGTAGACCCCGTTCAAAGGAATCCTATTCTAATTACCAAGGCCCCTATATTAGCTGCTAGAAGACCAGCAAGATGCTGCATTGCCCCTTCGCTTGGGCAGGCACCACGACGATGAAGAAGGTCGCCCACTGCAGGATCCACTTCGACAAGTAGGAGAGCCTGGCGCACTAGATGACACGTTATTGTTAATATCACTTCTATTGACTGCTTACTACCACAACTGAACTGTGTCTTTCGGACCTGCTAGCTGGCTCTGCTGCATATCCGGTCCCGCATCTCAACGCACACGCCAATGTCTCCCAGCTGCAGGCACTACGCATCTGCGAGCAATACCAGTACCGCTCTTTTTGGCGAACTGCCTGAAGGCACATTGAGGCCGGAGGATGGACATGTCGGCTGCCACAATGCCTTGACAATGCACCACCCACGATTCAGGTTTGGTTTGCGGCGGTATGGTTCTGAAATAGCTTCCATGGATTCCATTGTCTTCTCTATCGCACATGGAAATTAACATGGAAACTACCATGTCGATGATGGAAGCTACGGGGCATTACCCTTGCTTGTACAGCCAGTGCCCCTCCAGCAGCAAACATCTGCTGGCCTTCCCATCTACTGCAGACGCCCACTTCTGGCGGCTTGTCAGAATTGTGATGACAGACATTCAGGCCCCCAAGAATTTGTGTAGTTCTGGCGATGTTCAATAGCACCTATCGTCAGATGCAGCTGTACCAGAACAATGTAGCTCTTCGACACACTGGCATCAAGCAGTTGCAGAAGTCTTCTTAGTTGCGGGCCCAACGTCCAAAGCCAGTCTTTCGTGAATCCTGGGGACAGGTCAGAGTAGTGCAGACCTAGTGCCAAACTCTACAAACCCCTACTCGTACATCCTAAGCCCTGAATGCGCGCGAAACCAGGTGCCAGGGAAGAACCCGCTGCTTCTGTTGCTTGAGCTTCGAATGCCCACGGTGGCTCTGCAAAGACATCGACCGCATGGAATGCTTTGATCATCTGTGGTGGCTTCCATGACTCATATATCAAGCTCTCCCGCCATGTTTCAGGACGACTGTAAAACAGCTCAAGTAGCCGTATGGACTACGTATAGTCTAAGCTCCTGGTACCCCTTGATTAGCCCCCGAACGGATTTTTCACAGATTCTACTATCTAACCTAACCTCTGCATAAACTCGCACTCTGACGTGTTTCGAGACGGAAATCCTACAGGGTCTACGATCTAAGCTCTGGATGAACTCGCTTTCGAAACGATCGTGTCAACTCCGGACCCGGGCTCTGCTACAAAGCGTCGCGTGTAGGGAAGCGGCATCAGGGAGACGGTCCACAGCCTCTCAGGAAAGGAGCGCTGAGAGTCGACATCCCACACCCACCGTCCCCGGTCCCCACTAGAGCGTCATCATGGATGGAAGTGTGGAAGGCTTTTTGGATTGGTAGAGGGCGCGCAGCCATGGATCACGAACCTCCCCGCAACCCTCTGGCAAAGTCGAGGCCGCGGCGTTTGCAAAGAGGTCAACATGACGATGACCATGCGGAACTCGCCATGATCAGACTCGGCAAGGCGACCTAGCAGCCACTCACAGGATCATGTGGGTTGTTGTCAAAATTAGGGTCCCTTTTTGGGTACTTTATTACGTCTACCCGAAAAACGCTCTTCACCACCCCCTGTACCGAAACAGTTCATCCGCGCTGACACGGTACAACTCTGCAAGGTGACTCCTAAGCGGATTCTAGGCTTCAAACATGCGAACCGAAAACCAACGAAACACCCATGTTGTCTTTCCAAGCTGGAAAAACGACACTGCCCCTTAGCATAACATGTTACATTTTCGCTCCATGAAAAAGACTTTAGCCTAAACCCTAAACCCCTAAAACCTAAACCCTAAACCCTTGCCTAGCCAGGAGTGCTTCTCGAGCATTCGATGCTGGATCTTTGTGTGGTCCATGTCCATTGATCCTCGAAATCAATCTGGGGTCTCTTGTTTTACGGCTCAGGCGTCAAGGGCTTAGGGCTAAAAGGGATTTAATTTAAGGTACCATGATAGGGGTCTATAGTACATAACATGGTTTCTTTATTTATGGTAACTAAATCCCTTAACAAGACTTAACGAGAAGCTAGCTTGTTTCACGGCTCAGGGTGCCATGATCCTAGCTCTGGAGTCAGGGCTGCAGGGAGTACTCATTCATCGAGTTGGAGTTTTTAGGGTTTAGGGTTTAGCGTTGCTGGGGTCGAATACCAGGAGGATACGGTTTCGAGAAAATTCACGCACAACTTCTGGCAGTGCAGATTAACGTTGAAGGCTGGCTGATTGTTCTTCCCAACCTGCTCCCTGGTATTCAGTCTCGCCCCCACGCAAGTCTCAAACAAAGGAGCGTGCTCCCCACAAGGGTAGTTGTCAAAATTGTGTTCCCTTTTTGGGGTACCCTAAATATTAGGTGACGTATTATAATAGGGACCCAGAAAGGGACCATAATTTTGACAACCACCCAACAAACTTGCAGCAACCCTACCAACCTGAGACACCCTGTTCTGAAGTCGCAACATGGGCCCACTGAATTACCAGTATCCCCAAAAGCCTCCAGAGCTCCTTCTTCGAAGTGTCTGGTCTTAAGTCTCGCTTGCCCACTTCTCGGGAATTAAGTGAGGGGCCCATAGGAGCGAGAGTCTAAACTCCTAGTATCCCCTCTAAATAACCCTTATGGTAGTCCCCTATAAAGGCCTGTAATATAGAAGCTTGAATATTTGTCAACATTATTCCTTGGGGTTCCTTATATAACTATACGATGAAGGATCCCAAAACCCTATTCTAGTCATAAAGGCCTCTCACATGAGGGCATCCTGATACAACTCCTCAGCCAAGTCACGAAGTGAGCGGATCAAGGCCGCTAAAAAGACCTCAGACCAGCTGTTACGGTTTCGGGTTTAGGGTTTAGGGCTTAGGGTTGGAAAAAGCTTCTAAAAAGGCCTACATCCTAGCAACGGCCGCTGAAACAAGTTGGAGTCTGCAGCTGATAGCTTGCTAACGTGCTCGCAAGTAGGAACTCTGCGATATCCTGGTTGCTGCATCTTGCGGGTTCCTCAGACAACAAGTAATCCCCGCTGTAAGGACCAGAAGTCATGATATCCATTATCTCCCGAGTTCGTACAGACACAATAGGTCTTCAAGACCTTGCTCGAGTTACGTAGGCCTACATATAAAACACAAACTTGTGGGAAACCTCCCATAAAGTTTCAGCACATTGCTGATCTTTCATCTGGTTTTCCATTCGATTCTTCAAACCTGCAAGTATGCAGGCCTCACGGAACGAAAAGCTGCCCAGCTGCAAAGACCAGAAATATGACAGCCAGGAAGGGTCCCGCCCAAGAGATCGCTTGGTCCACAGTGCCGCAAAGGTAGCACTCACCTGGGGGGAGGCTAAGGGCTGGGATTGAGGTTTTGGGTATTACGGTTTAGGGTTTAGGGCCGTTTAGGGTTGAGGGTTTAGGGGTTTAGGGTTTAGGGCCGTTTAGGGTTGAGGGTTTAGGGGTTTAGGGTTTAGGGCCGTTTAGGGTTGAGGGTTTAGGGGTTTAGGGTTCAGGGCCGTTTAGGGTTGAGGGTTTAGGGGTTTAGGGTTTAGGGTGTTGGGCTGAGGGTTTCGGCTTCTGGCTTCAAGGAATTTGATCATTATGGGGACTACGCTCGGTGACATTCCAACATATTCCAACTGTTAAGGCTCTGCCATACAATCAACCTCCACCTTCTGCAACCACATCTCTGCTACCACCCCTGTCCGCATCAACGAGAGATTCAGACCATTAAGGCCTACGTACTCTCATGCTCCATCTTCACTTAAACATAAAATCCCGAACCCTCTTCAATCCTTGGAGACCCGTAAACCCTAAACCTTAATCATACATCCTCAACCTTTTCCCTAAAGCCTGATAAACTCTACACCCCCTGCAGCCTGGAGGCTTAGATGCGCAAAGGCATCGGCGCGGCAGTGCCCGCACCGGACGGACGCGGGATCGCGAGATTCTTCGCAGCGGTTTGGATCTGGGAATCGTCTCGCACTTTCGTAGGGTGTACTTGGAGGATCATGGGACTTAACTGGCGATATAAATATGGTAACTATACTTATAATTACTTGTAACCCCAACTGAGGTACTTATAGCCTTACTTACTAAGTCCCATGATCCGCCAAGTAGGGTGTAGGGTTTGGGGTGTAAGGTGCAATCTGAACTCCTTTCAACACTAAGATGGCGTTCTTAATTCTACGGTATGTTAGCAGTTTTGGCTACAGCTCATCTGAATCAGTGAGGTTCCGCAAAAACCAGGTGTTCTACCTACGGAGTTCCTGGTGCCCATCTCTTGGCGTAGAGGTGGAGGATTTAGAAGGTTGAGGGTTTTTGAAGGTTGAGTGGATTCAGGGTTTGGGGTCCGGATTTGCATCCACACACAGCTCATGATGCTTATGCTCTCTACTAAGATTCCGAGATCCACTTGCAGTGGGATGGTGACATCTGCTACTATGGTTGATGATATAAACCCTGCATTACCCATAATACCATAAATCCCATAGTTTAGGCTCCTTAAGGTCATGCATGATTTATACCAGCACCCTAAACCCCAAACCCTGCAACCCTATAGATCCCTTAAAGGAACCCCTTCAGGGTACCCTTATAGATCCCTTCAAAGGAACCCTGGGATTTATATCATCAACCGGAGGATTTCTCTGGGCGCCCTGCCCAGCTCATCTCCTGCGAAAGTTCACGGAGCGGAAAAAGGAAGCGGAGCTGCTCAAGTGGCCGACAACTTGCTGTGCTTAGGGTTTGGGGTTTAGGGTCTTGGGTTTGGGTTTGGGGTTCAGGGTTTGGGGGTTTGGGGGTTTGGGGTTTAGGGTTTAAGGCTTAGGGTTCAGGGGTGCACATCATGGAGCAAAGCCTCACTATACCCTATGGTACATGAACTAGTTCTGAAGATCTCAACGGAATTTATTGCATACATATTTAATAGCTAACTATCTAACAAAGCAGCCTTAACACCCCCTCAATAGGTATACAAGCATGTATCAGCAAACTACGATCCCTTCCCGACCTTGAAGGCACGCATGGGACGGAAAGCAAGGCCAAAAGATAAGCCTGGCCGGGCTCCCAGTTCGAAAGCGGAAGTAACTGTTTAGGGTTTAGGGTTTAGGGTTTAGGGTTTAGGGACAATCAAAGTTCTAGCGGACAATGACCCTCATGACAGACAAGGACGGCTGGTAGAGAAAGTGCTGCTTCGTCTGGCCAACCATGGGCATAGCGATGTTGAAGAGCTTTGACCCAACAATCATACTTGGAGGATCATGGGACTTGACAATCAAGTAAGGTTATAAATACCTGAATTAGGGTTATAAGTACTTATACGTATAGTTACCTTATTTATACCCCCAATTACTAAGTCCCATGATCCTTGAAGTAAAGGTTGGCCTGTCCGGTGTCCAGTACCCAGACTCGGAGTATGGCAGCATCGGCCCACCCTCACCTGAGCCATCTGATCTAAAGTCCGGATATTCCACTCCAGTAGGCCCGTAGAGGAACCCCATGAACTTAACCAGGTTTAGGATTCAGGGTTTAGGGTTTAGGGTTCGAAAAGGGTACTATAATGGTTTTGGCGGGGTTGACGTAGGAACCTGATTAAGAAACCTTGGGCCTTTATTAGGGTTCCTGACATGAACCCTACTCTTTTGGGCAGGGTGTCTGAATCAGGTTCCTACAATATTGCTACAAGCCCCATGAGCCAAAAAATGACCCTGTAAGTATAATATAGCTATCCTATTTATATGTAACCCTAGTTTAGTTACTACTGCCTAATAGTTATAAGGTTTAATGAACCACAGAGACCCTCATTGAAGAGTCTAGGGTTTAGCTCAGCTAGTGCCATAGCCCGCCATCTGAGCAGCAGCTGGTTCTTCAGATTGCACGCGCATTAGGATAATATAGGGGCCTAAAAATTAGAATAGGGTGTTGGGGCCCACTATGCTATACTTATAATAAGGAACGCCCAAAAGATCGTGTAGGCAATTATTTAGGCCCCTCTAGTAGACAAAATTCCCGGTGCGATCTGGTGAGACTAAGTTGCAAATGGCCCCGGCTGGACAGGCCCGACAAACGCCATGGTTGCTTGCGAGCTCCCAATCCTAGGTGTCTGGCCAAGGGTCACGGCTGAACGATTGCCCCTTCAGTACTTTCGCCTGTGCATGCAGCTGGACTTCAGGAAGCCACCTGCTAGGATGCTTTGAGTGTCAACAAAATCGAACCCCCATTCCTAAACCCTAAACCTGAAACTTCAAATCCACGTCCCGCAGAGGAAGGATCAACAGCTAGGCACCACAGCCCAAATTTGTGATACCTGCATTCACCAAGCAGCGGCCCCGCTGTTGGTGCGGAAGTAGCCAGGCATACAGTCGCATGAGCTTATGCTGGTAGCACCCGTGATGTTGGTTGTCTCATGTTCTGGACACACCGTGCACGCACCTGGCTTGCAAAAGGGAGTATCGTTGGCATGTCTGTCCGCAACTCCACCCGCTTCTGCCTGAAGGAATGACCCCTGCCTCCTCTGCCTCAAACTAGCTGGTCACCCACCTCACCAGGAAAACTCGGAACCAAAGGTGCCTGCGCCAAAAAGACCCATGTAGAAGCCGATCTCACACGTGTTGCACGTCAACGCCGGGCCCACACCACCTGGAGGCCACTTCACCCAGAGACTCCAATATCCCCTAATTGAGGGTTATTCCTTAAATCATATTAGGGATCTTATTATATCTTAAGGTATATTCCTTCACTGAGGGATATTGGAGTCTCTGGGCAGCTGTCTTCATGTTGTAGGCCCTCGAGGTCTTGAAGCCAATGCTCCCGTGACAACAACAACATCACACAAGAGATGCTGTGTCTACAGGAACTTGCAGGACCTGCCCTTCGGTGCCAAGCTGCTTTTGAACTTGCCCGGGACGCATTGGATGCAATCGGTGCCTCAGGAGGATTTGCAGAATTCATGCAGCTCGCCAGTTGGGCCCTGCCTTACTGGCCAGTCGAAAGGAATATGGCAGTTTCCGAAAATAGGGGACCCTAAGATACTACCCTAAAGAGTAGGATCCTTATTATAAGGAGCCCAAAATAAGGTACCCGCTAATTTCGGAAAACTCCCATGTTGCTGAAGTTCTGCAGCCCGCAGACCTCGCCGTATGTACCAGAGCTTAAGGCTTTGGTATGGCCGAAGATGGATCCCAAGATGGGTTTTTGAGTTTTGTTTTTGAAGCTCCTTTTTCCGCCAAGCAGAAGTCTCAACTGGGGTTTTGGGGTTTAGGGTTTAGGGTTTTAGGCCTTTGGGGTTTAGGGGGGATTTATGGTTTACAGTAAACCCCATAAAAGTTGGAAACCGGACTAAGGCCAAATAGTGCTGGGATTCCCTATACATTGCTCTTAGGGATTGAGGCTATTGGGTTTTCAACTTTTGGGCTTCTACTGTAGACGGTCGCCCAAAAAAAGCTACCCCTAATATTTTGAAAGCCGTCCAACCTGCATTCAAGCTGCCCGTGTAGCTGCTTCGCCGTTCCCCGGCGGGGCAAGGCTTCAGCCGGACGGCTTGCCATTCCCTTCGCGCATCACTTGCTGGTGGTCGAGGAGTCGATAGGACAGGAGGCACATATGGGTGGTTGTCAAACCTATGGTCCCTTTTTGGGTCCCTAATATAGTACGGCACCTAGTATTTAGGGTACCCAAGAAGGGACCCTAATTTTGACAACTACCCATATAGGCAGTATGTTGATTACTACGGAAGACACGCCGTCTTATTGACATCTTGAATGATGCGGAAGCTGCTGCGCATCGCGCAGCGCTGAAATTGGATTGTGGAAAGATACGATGCATGACGAAGACCCATAGAAGAAATCCTCCCAATGCTTCATCTTAGCTTCTGCTTCCTTCGCGATGAGTTCCTTTCAATCTGCACAACAAGTAGCTTTCAGAACTGTCATCTTGATGTACAAGCACGAGAGCTGAAATGGGCCCGGCACCTCTGTGGCCCTCAAAGTGAAAACTCTTATGGCATAGATTTGAGCCTGCATACAATGCAATCAAGTGCACAGTGACGACTTCTTCAGGATGATGAGACTCCACACCCTGGAACCTAGGCCCAGACCCCCAAGCCTGAAAGCCCTAAGGTTCTTAGGCCCTACAACCCCTAGACACCCCTCCCTAAAGCCCTTCACCCACCTCGTCAGGGCAGACAAATTCTGAGGACGGCTGCCACAGGTCTCATTGAGCCTGGCAAGATGGCCCCAGCAGCCGAATAACCACTCTGACGGGTTTAGCTCGGGGATGAGAGGTCTGGAGTTTGGGTTTTTTTTGTTTTAACTCCTTTTGGGGTTTAGGGATTTAGGGTTTTGGCTTTCGGGCTTAGGGCATAGGGTTTAGGTGGGCTGAGGCTGAGTGCCTCCCTTTCCGTCTGCAAGTCAAGAAGCTTCACAGCTCGGCCTGGCTTCGGGGCCCTTCAGCGTCGAGGAACTAAGTACTCATAGGGCCCCTTTGGGGGGGTTACTTAAAGGATCATGGGACTTGGTAAGTAGGTCAGAATTGGGGTTATAAGTCCCCTAAGTGGGGTTATCCTATTTATAACCTACTTATAGCCTTACTTACTGAGTCCCAAGAGCCTTTTAAGTAGGGAGGGGGGGTAGGGGCCCGTAATGCCCATAACTAGAAAGGCCGATTTAAGGAAGTATAGTCCCCACCCCCCCTCCCTCTTACCCATTTAAGGGCCCAAATGAATTACAGTCACAGCCAGAGAAACATCCAGCCCTCACATCCCAAAGCTGCCTCTGCCAGAGTATGCTGATATCACCATCACAGGTCTTCATTCAATGGTCAGAAGAACATCCCTAAACCCCTAAACCCTAAACCCTAAACCCCTAAACCCTAAACCCTAAACCCTAAACGCAAGCCTGCAAGACTCCTATGCTAAAGCACAAGGCAAGCAACCACGACCTCAGCCAGACCCTCTCCGCATCAGGCCCCTAAAGTGCTGAAATGTAAGAACTCGCTAGCAACAGAGTCTCGATGGTCTTAATGTACCCTAAACCCTATAGATCCCTTTAAGGATCCATTTAAGGATCCTGTTAAGGATCCCTTGCATTTAGGCCCCGGGGCCTTACTGATTAGAATTGGGGCTTTGGGGCCCATTATTATAACTATAATGAGGAACCCCGAAACTAGCACTGGTATTTATGAAGGCCCCTACATTAACCCCTTCTTCTTAAACCCTTCTTGTAGCCCCTATAGTAATCCTTATAGAGCCCTTTAAGGATCCCTTTAAGGATTCCTTTAAGGATCCATTTTAGGATCCCCTTTTATTTAGGGCCCCACTCTTGACACCGTCGGCCTTTCCAAGATGCTGCAGTCCAGCCTTATCCGCACAGCGAGGCTTTCAAGACAGCGAAGCCGCGAAGAGACAGCTGAGCCAGGCAGCGACATAAACCCTAAACTAAGCCGTAAACCCTGAACCCTAATCCCTAAACCAACCCCTAAACCCTAAACTAACCCCTAAATCCTAAACCCTAAACCCTAAACTAACCCGAAAACCCTAAACCCTAAATCAGCGACAGAAACCTTGTTGATGGTGATCTGTCAAAGTCACACCCGGGATCTTGGGAAGCACAGCGTGCAGTGTACAGCAGCAGTTGCTAGATGCAGCTGGGCAGCTCATAAAAGACCGAAAAGGCCACAGGCAGCTGCGACAGCCGAAGAGCCAACCTGACAATGCACTCTGTGTTCAATGAGGGTACATGTACATTTTACTTGCCAGGACAGCATCATGTGAGGTCCCTAGCAGCAACACAGCTTTGCCAAAGCATCCTCCCTCGCGCTTCCAGGACCGTTCATGCCGTGGTGTTCTTAAGCACAAAGTAGACGTGTTTTACTTGGAGGATCATGGGACTTAGTAAGTGGGGTTCATAAGTACCTTAATTGGAGTTATAAGTAACTATAAGTAATTAAAGGTATAGCTACCATATTTATAACCCCAGTTACTAAGTCCCATGATCCTTTAAGTTAAGTACTCTCATAACAGCAAAGCAACATGCTAGGAGACTCTGCTATGATCCTGAAACTCGAAACCTCAAGTCCTGAACCCGAAGAATCCTGCCTTTCCAGGTCCAAAGGCTCTCCTTCCTGCAGACGGCGGCCCTCGTCCACTTCAATGGTCTCATTGTAGTATTCTCGGTATGCCGGTGCGATTGGAGGTCAACCGTGCTGGGGCCGGGGTGTCTAAGAGACTCCTTCCGGGACTTGCAGCTGCTTCCGGGTAAGCGCATTGAAGCCCGGCTTTGTGTGGGAACATTCAAACTTTCAGGCTTTGCCGGTTGAGAGGAATGGACTCGGATGAGCCGTGACGACTTCACAGTGCTGGAACTGGGAGTTTCCGACATTGGGGATCCTAATGCAGTACCCTAAATAGCAGGATCTTTATTATGAGGACCCCAAAAGAAGGTACACCTGATTTTCGGAAACTCCTTAAACTCTTATAGAGCCCTTTAAAGGAACCCTTGTAGTACCCTTATAGTAATTCCTTTTAACGGAACCCTAAGGTACCCCTATTTTCGGAAACTCCTAGCTGCTGCCCGGCGTCCGCCCGAAACCTCGGCGCCGAAAAGACTTTGATCCTCAACGCGACAACGCACCTCCTTGTCCTCGTGCGCCAGGCACTTCAAAGCTTTAGGGTTTGAGGGGTTTTAGGGTTTAGGGTTTAGGGTTTAGGGTTTTAGGGTTTTAGGGTTTAGGCCCCGTGAGCTTGAGGGCAATGTGTATGCATTCAACAGGTTGTGGGCGGCCTTCAACATGGACTGTTCTTCTAGGGTTTAGGGTTTAGGGTTTAGGGTTTAGGGTTTAGGGTGCTGTGCCATCGCCAAAAATTAAACTGGACGAAACAGGAAAAGACGAAGCAGGACAAGAACTCCTGGTGGTCGGTGATCTGGCAATTTACAGAATGAGTCGGCTGCCCGAGGTCTTCGGCGAGGGACCTGGGAAGATGCCAACGGTGCAAGGACACCACGGAGCTGTGGCTAAAACGCAGGGCCAGGGCCCTTTGGCCCTGAGCATTCAGAGGTTGCTGGGGCAAAGCCAACCCGGTTGTCGTAGGACCCCAGGGTGGACTATCTGAAGAAGCTCTTCAAAAGCTCATCTGCCGAAGATGCCCGGCTGTTGACGCTGTTACACCTTCTCTCTGGTGCGTTGGTTAAGCGACCGAGTTGTGCTTCACAGTGTTCATTGGCCGGCCCATGTCGCAGCCCACTTTTCAAGGAGTTCTCAACCAAATCGTCTCCAGCTAATCTGGGCATATTTCTGAGACGGTCTCGTCTACAGAGTCCCGGATGACTGTGACTTCTGAGCAAGTCTTCCTCTTAAGGTAGGGGCCCTAATATTTAGAATCGGGTTTGGGGGCCCTTTACACTATAACTACTGAGGCCCCTATATTATGGTACCCTTATAGATCCCTTAGACTACCCCTTACAGACCCCCTTTAAAGGAACCCTACTCTCATTCTGAAGGCCCCCATATTACTTAAAGGATCATGGCATGATCATGGGACTTAGTAACTGGGGTTATAAATAAGGTAACCGTACTTACAAATACTTATAACCCCAATTAAGATAATTATAGCCTTACTTACTAAGTCCCATGGTCCTCCAAGTACCCCTTTCTACCCCTGAAGCGAAGCCGCAGATCCGGCACCGCCGTCGTGTTTGACCCAAATGTCTCCAGCTGCACCACCTGAGACAGCCCAGCGACTCCAATATCCCTTAATTAGGGAATATTCCTTAAACCATATCAGGGATCCTATTATAGTTTAAGGAATATTCCTTAATTAGGGGATATTGGAGTCTCTGAGACAGCGGCCACCAACACAGGGTTCACATGGGGTTTAGGGCTTAGGGTTTAGGGCTGAGGGTTTAGGGCTAAGGGTTTAGGGTTTGGGATTTAGGGCGTAGGGTTTAGGGTTTTATGTAACTGGCGATGGAGGCGGCTTGTGGGTGTGGTTTTGAAGTCTGTATGGTCGAGTCGCAATGCTGGGCAGGACATGGAACTCAATGACAAGAAGATGCTGCAGTTTCGCAGTCTAGCTGATTGTCCTGTACTTGGAGGCTCATGGGACTTAGTAAGTCAGGTAATAAGTACCTTAATTGGGGTTATAAGTAATTTTAAGTATAGTTACCTTATTTATAGCCCCAGTTACTAAGTCCCATGATCCTTTAAGTATCCCTGGCCTTTGCCGGCAGGATGGGCGCGACTTCCGGGCCTCCTACACCAAAATCAAAGGGGAAAAGGAGGGACTCTCAATGGGGACCCCTACCCGATAATGGGCTATATAATGAGTATATAATAGCTATATTAAGGGTACATACCTAGGGGTCCTTGTTCAGGGTCCCTCGTTTCCCCTTTGACAAAAGGCAAACAAGGCGCCATGTTGCCATTCGCCTCAGTGCCAAAGTGCTCCCCCTGGATGGTGACTTCCAGAGCACCCACTTCGAACTCATGGCTGCGAGTGATCCTGGCTCTGGCTCCAGGTGTCGTGCCCAAACTTCGGGGGGGAACACGACAAGCATCTAACGTAGGGACCTTAATGATTAGTGACTGTGGATGTGCAGGCATGCAGTTCGTGTGCAGAGCATGCTGCTCAAAGGCATGGAGTCAGGGCATTCAGGTCCGGTTTGGTCCAGTTGCTAGGGCTCCAGACTCACTTCTCTCAGAATAGCTTAGAGTTGAACAGATTCTTTTCACAGATCAGGTAGCATCTGACAGTTCGTTTCGTGAGAGTTTGCGCTGCCGGGAAAAGGCAGTCGGGTCGGGCATTGAGTTCTTGCCTGCCCAACGGGCAGGTTATGAGCCCAAGTGGTTCGTAACACTGCGCCTCCGCCATGGAATCCGCTGGGTCTGCTGATGAGCCGCAGTACCAGCAGGGGCATGTAAGACCTGATACCCTCTTGAATCCGAACAACCTGGAGGGCTCAGGCGGACCGGAATCCCTTGGAGAGAGGAGTTTTTTCCAGGAGGCTTCCAGAATCATCGATGATGGTGGTAACACTGGTGCTGGACAGAGGACGCCTGAGCAGCAAGCGCGTGATGTGCTGACCGGTGTTGAAGGGCTTGAGCCTGAGTATGAGTTCGAGTCTGTCGAGGGAGTAGCGTCTCCAGAAGGGGATGGTCGAGAGGAGCAGTCTCCCGGGGTCCAGACCGCTGGTCGGGATCAACGACAATTTCAGAATCCTGAAATGGGTCTACAGCCTGGTGTGAATTCTGGAGAGGTCTTGATCAATGGTGTGGTGCCTGATGTGGGTCATGCTTCAGGGGGACAAGGCCGTGAACCTGAAAGGGGCGGAGTTCTTCCGTTGCAAGCTTTGTTTCAAGGCCAGCTGGGACAGCAGTCTGATTCGCAAGGGAGAGTGGAACTCCTGGAACGGCTGGTACACCAACTTATGGATCAGAATGAGCTGCTGAGGCGTGAGATCGGAGATGTGGCTTCGAGGAGCTCAGCTGAGTCGGGCCAGAGCGGTAGAGAGGTTCCTAAGGGAGCTACTGCTATCGGGAAAGCGGGTAGCCGAGTAGAAGATGTAGTTACTGGTCGCGAGAGTAGTGCAGGCGTAGCAAGGAACACTGAGCCAACCTGGAATCCCAGTTTGGACCAGGTAGCTGAGGGAAGAGGGTTTGGAGCTCTTGGTCGTAAGGCTAAGCTTGGGAAAGGTATAGGTAATCAGGGTGGTATAGACCTGAATGCCGGCCGCTCCAGAGTCTTCAGTCCGCCGTGGACGTCCTTCCAGCAATCCCGAGATGAAGCTATGCCAGCCTCAATGCCAAGTGCCGGGCCAGGGGATAACGTTCATCGAGCTTCCGTTCAACAGTCCCGAGATGATGTTATGCCTACTGCAATGCCAAGCGTTGGGCCAGGGGATAAGTTTCTTCAGGCAACCCGTGCCATCCAGAATCTATCCTTGGAAGAAGGTCCAGGTGAGTTGTCTGCTGTGCACCCTTCCTGGTTTCAGGTTGATCTAGATCTTCAGGGGTCGAGGCCTATGGAGGTTGAGGATAGTGTTGGGGTCCAGCCTGCTACGCAGTCAGCTGTGCAGCGGACTCACTCGCGCCAGCAAGATAGGCAAATGTATCCTAGTCCCGAAGGAACTGATCAGGATCCAAGGGTCCAGCCTGTGATGCAGTCAGCTGTGCAGCGGACCCAATCGCGCCAGCGGCAGGATGGAAATGTAGATGGGAGTGGGTTAGCAGGTAGGAAGGTACAGGTTTGGATAAACGGAGTGTTGAGGGAAGGGGTTTATGATCATCAGGGTCAGGTGATCTTGACTCCAGAAGCACCTAAGTACTATGCTCTTGAGAGTAGTGACGTGGTTGCCCCTCCTCCTGTAGAGCCTGAAGGTACATTTGTGCCACCTGCGCTTTCGCCTCCGTGCAATGTAGGGAGGCCGCGAAAACCTCAGGGCCCGTGGAGCCCACAAGCAGCGTCTCCATTTCGTACTGCCGATGGTAGTCCTCCACCACCGCCACCACATCCCCCTGTTCCTGTAGATAGGCCGAGTAGGACCGTAAGGAATGCGGAGAGGTCTCCGACTGGTGTAAGGCAGGGATACTCAAGGAAGTTTAGTCGGTCACCTCAGCCGAGTCCTTCCAGGATTGTGCCTCAGTCAGGGTCTCATCCTAATGCGTCACCGGCCACGCCGGGGGGAACGCGACTGCCGCCAGGGCCGCCTCCCAGGACACCTGTAGTGGGCGAAACTCAGGCTGCTCAGGGCAGTGGTCAGGGTGATGGGCTTTTGGAATTTAGTTCAGGGCTGAAAGACTTTGTACCGGGGGATCGTACGTATTGGGAGTTGCCGGTTTTAGCTGCGCCAAGTTCTGAGGTGAACCCAGCCATGCGATGCAACGACTGGATATATAAGATCGGTCCTCTCATGAGCGATCTAGCGCCGAGGGCAAACATTTGGTGGGCGAGGGTTTTGAAGGAATCCCAGGATGCCTATCAGCAGTGGTCGAGTGCCAAACCGTTGGATCGTGCCAAGATTGTCGGGAAGCCAAGTAGCACTCTTCAGGGAGACATGTTCACCAGGATTGAGTCGAGGGGGGTTGCTATGCTCTCTAAAGCCCTCCCTAATGTTGTATATGAACAAGCCCTTTCCAGTCGCAACGTCTCGTGTGTAGGACTGTTGTTTCTCACGCTTAGAATCTATCAACCAGGTGGTCTAAACGAGAGGGCTGAGTTGCTGCGTGGCCTGACATCACTGCAGGTGTTCGATACTGCTGTGTCGGCAGTTGGAGGGCTTCAGAAATGGTTCAGGCATCTGGAGCGTGCTAATACCATGTCGATCTCAGTTCCGGATAGCTCTTTGCTACTGCAAGGCGTGGACAAGAGCGTGCATACCTTGTTGCAGTCTCATCCTGCACTGTCCTTCCGAATGCACAGTGTTCGCATGCAGCTGCAGTTGGATACAGTTCCGACTCATGAGCGCGTGGAAGAGTACGTAACTACTCTCCTAGCTGAGTTTGAACTGTTAGCAGTTGCAATGCCGGATACATCAGCGAAGCGTCCTCGTGTAGCAGCAGTGGATAAAGGAAAGGGTGGAAACAAGTCGTCTGAAAAGGGTTCCGAGGCCCAGGGAACTCCCGAGAAGCCGAAGCCCGAAGCCAAATCCAAGCTTCCATGTCGAGGGTGGGTCACAGATGCCGGGTGTAAGTATGGGAAAACATGTAACTTCTCTCATTCGGCAGATCGCCCAGGGAAATGCTGGACATGCGGAGGGTCACATGCGAAGGCTGAGTGTACAGCTCCGGGAGGGGGTAATGCCCAGAAACCTGCTGCAACAGAGACTCCAAAAGGGAAGGGAAAACCGTCAGGGGGTGAGCCGAAGGGTGGGAAGCCCAACCAGGGTGCACCTAAGGGACCAAAGGGTTCGGGAGGAGCACAGAAGGGAGCTAGTGGGCTTTCTGAAGATGCAATAAAAGAGGCAGCCCAGCTGCTTCAAAGCTTGAGGCTTGCGGCGATCAGGCCATACATTCGTTCTGCGACGGAAGTGCTCTGTAAAGCTCAACAAGGCGAGCCGCGTGGTCTGATAGATGGCGGTGCCACTGCATGTTTAAGGACAGCTCTGAGTCATGAAATGGAGATGCCAAGTGTTGTAGTCCGACTAGCGTGTGGCGAATGCTCGCTGTTGGTAAATCCCCAAGGAACGCTTTTGAGCAAGACGTTTGTGAGTCCGATCCTTTCTGTTCGGGCGTTGCTAGCTCTTGGCTACAAGGTGGAGTGGGATTCTTCTCGTTGTAGAATTTGGCATCCTTCGCGGGGTGTATTGGATACGGATGTTAGCACTGGTTGCCCGGAAATCTCGGAGCAGAAGGCCTTGGAACTTATCGGGGAATATGAGGCTTTGGTGCAGCGCGGGGAGAGTCGTTGTGCACGACTGCACTGTTTGATGAAGGATTTAGCTGGATTGAGTAATGCTGAGCTTGCTGATGTGATTGTTCGTCGGGATGTGCACTCAGACGCAGCTGTAAAGAAGCTGGTTGAGAAAGTGTTTGGGGATACGCCTAGTGATTTGAGGGAGCAGGCGGTTGCATCTGTGCAAGATCCAGCTGGTGAGTCTTTCACATGGAACAGAAGGATGCGGAGGAAGTTTGAGCGTGCGAAAGGCCTAGTTGTTCATCTGTTCTGTGGTGAGGGCAGAAAGGCTTTTGATCGAGTGTCCGAGAAACACGGGCTAATCCATGTGCCGGTTGACACAGCCGAAGACCTGTTGGCGGAAGGTACCTATCAGTATTTGCTCAGGCAGGCTGCTAAAGGAAGAGTTCGTGCAGTGATCGGAGCCCCTCCTGGCAGGACATTTGCGCCGTGTCGGTACTCAGTAGGTGAGCAAGGCTCAGGTGTGAAGCCTCTTCGAGTAAGGGGGGAGAGTCTTGGTGAATACGGTGTTGGGGAGTTGACATGTCAAGAGCTGGCACAACGCAGGATAGATGATGTGTTGATGATGAGGATGATGGTGCTGATGCTGGTGGCGCAGGGTTCGAATGAGGCTCTGAAGGAGCCGACCCCACACTGCCTGGTGGAACATCCTGAGGACCCTGAGGATGGGGGTATGGTAGGTGTTGCCCTGAGGGAGCAGACGAAACCTGAGCTCGGGTACGCGTCGTTCTGGGCCACACCAGAGTGGCAAGCGATATCAAAGGAGTTGCAGCTGTCACCTACCTCCTTTCATCAAGGACCGTTGGGGCACCAGAAGGTAAGGCCAACCACCATTTATACAAACATGTATCCGGATCCTTTGCTTGTGGACTGTTGGGATGATGGGTTCCAGTCTCGTCCGAAGGTCGGGGGTAAGGGGTTGTCTTGGTCTCAGTGGAGCCCAGGGCTTTGGATTGCTGTGACTAACATGTTGGCGAGAGCACTTGCGGAGCAGGTGCCGAAGGGACTCAGAGCGATGGATTCTGGTTTCATAGAGCACCTTCGCAATAATCACACGCCATTTCGCAGAGATTGCAAGCAGTGCATTCGCG